TTAAACAAGAAAAACAAACAAACAAAAAACAGAATAAAAGTGACATGACTTTCCCAAGGAAACCTGGTCCAGTCAATAACCAGGTGTTCAGTATCTAAGCTTTCAACTCTAACTTTTGTCTCTGATCATCCAGTAATGGCCCAGCATTATAATTAAGATAGAAAAGGAATCTGTTGAAATACTTTTCATTATTATTTAATTTACATGACAACCCTACAAGATTACCCTCATCATCCACATGAGGAACCAGTCAAGGGTTAAATAACTTGCCTGAGGCCATAAAGATAACATAGCTAGCAAACCCAAGATATCACTGTAGAGCTGGCATTCTGGAAATAATCTGAAGCTGCGTGCCACCCTGAGCACGTGTGGGAAAACACTGGTTTATAAACCTGACCACGCTGCTTCCTTGTTTCTCCTCGCCCACTCTACAGACTTTTACTGATGAAAACACAACTCATTCCTGTTCATTCGACTCTGTGCAACACTCGGTTTATTTCCAGGTACTGTGGCTATCAAAAAGTAATGAAAGTTATCTTTTTAAAACTCTGTAATTTGGAATTTTCTCTATTTTATATTGACCAACATGGCCACTGATTAGCTTGAATCAATGAGTCTTACTCTATCTTAACACGGTCAGTTTACTCTGGATCAGCTGCAGAGAGCATGAGAGCAAAAATAGAGCTTACACTCTTCATTTGCTTGGTCGGCTCTTTACCTCTCATAGTATAAAGGGAGATTATAAACATAATTCCTACCTGAACAATTACTAATCAGAATTAATGAAATTCAAATTCACTGTTAGATTTAAGATATCATTACCAGGTAGTACACACTTATTGGGCTTCCCAGGTGGTGCTAGTGGTAAAGAACCTGCCTGCCAATGCAGGAAACATTTCGGGTTTGGTCCCTGGGTTGAGAAGATTTCCTGGAAGAGGACGTAGCAATCCACTCCAGTATTCCTGCCCGGAGAATCTCATGGACAGAGGAGCCTAGACGGCTACAGTCCACAGCGTCACAAAGAGCTGGACATGACTGAAGTGACTTGGCGCGCGCACACACACACACACACACACGCATATACTTATTAGAAATAATTAAAAGAGGACACAACTATTCCTAAAGCTATTATTAAAGGAGAAATAGAAACAATTAGGTTTCTCCAAGTCCTGATTATCTTCGTTTTCATTTTTGTTCAAAAAAACAAAAAAATCTTGTTTGCTCAGGCTGGTGACAAGAATGTTAATTAATCCTTACAACGAAGTATCAAAGGTGTCTCCTGCCATTTCCGAAGTCCCTAAGAAATAAACCCATGTACCTCTGTGTCTACAATTTACCATACAGGACTTACTCAGTTATTTGGAACACACACATATGATAATTTTTAGGGATTTATTAAAAAGAAAATAAACTTTCTGGGAAGAGCTTGATGCTATTTAATTTTCTGGATAAGTGAAGATCTTATGCAGAAAACATATATGTTTCTTTCTCCACTTTAAAAGGTTTCTTAGTAGGTAGCAAACTTTCCTGTCCATTTGAGGTCAATCAAATGAGCACAGGCAAAACATTCTTTTACAACTGGGCATTCTGCGGTCTCTGCTCACTCTATCTTGTGTAGTTACAAAGATGCAGAAGACATGCACACCTGTTCTCAATGTAAATGACTCTGGGGCATTTTTAAAAGGTTTAAAAAACCAAAAAAGCACTCAAACAAACCAAAATATCTAAAATTTGGGTACACATATATCTGTATATGTGTGACTGTTGAATAATGGGGTAGTGTAGGTTAACTGAGCATTCTAGTTAATTGATATTCTGTTTCACTAATAAAAAAGTGTATTCAATCATTCATTTAGTAAGTATTTCCTGAGAGCCTACCATAAGGCAGGACTTTCTCCAGGTGTTTGAGATATATGAGTAACAAAAAATTTCCTGTCCTCATGGAGTTTACATTCTAGGAGGGGAAGAGAAAAAAATAAGCATATATATATATATGCTTATATATATATTATATATATATATATAAACAAAGTATATAGTATGTTAAAGGTAACAGTTTTGGGAAAAATAGAGTAGGATAAGGGTTTTAAACTGCAAATAAGAATTGCGGTTTAGAGAGAGGTGGGAGGGGGGATCGGGATGGGGAATACATGTAACTCCACGGCTGATACATGTCAATGTATGACAAAACCCACTGAAATGTTGTGAAGTAATTAGCCTCCAACTAATAAAAATAAATGAAAAAAAAATTAAAAAATTTAAAAATTAAAAAAAAAAACTGAAAAGAATTGCAGTTTAGAGGAGTTGAGTTACAGTTTTAAATAGATGGTTAAAGTAGGTCTCATTGAAAGTTGAGATGTCAGCAAAGAAATGATGGAGGTGACACAGTGCAGCGACTGGAGGAAGGGCATCCCAGACTCAAGGAAGGAAAAGCAAAGAACTGGGGTGGAAGGAACGACACCAGGGCAGAGAGGCCAAGTGGGGCTCGGAGGGGGGCGTAAGAGTGGCAGGGACTTGTGTGTGTGTGTGTGTGTGCGCATGCATACATGTGCACAAAAAATAATGTTATGGATTAGAGGCTACTGTGACGTATCCTCCCTTGACCTTGCCACTGCTGAGCGACTAACACTTTCCCTTGACTTTGATTACCTGTCAAGAGACAATAAAGCCACTCACCTGAAATACACTATGGTGGTGTTGCCACAGCTCAAGATAATGGTGCCATTGTGTTTTTGTTTTTCAGTTGCTAAGTCGGGTCTGACTCTTTTGTGACCCCATGGACTGTAGCCTGCCAGGCTCCTCTGCCCAGGCAAGAATACTGGAGTGGACTGCCATTTCCTCCTCCTGATCTTCCTGACCCAGGGATCAAACCTGCTTCTCCTGCATGTCCTGAATTGCAGGTGGATTCTTTATAGCTGAGCCACCAGGGAAGTCCTTTAACTGCTGATCTCACTTCAAAGTGACAATTCAGATCTACGAGGTAAGACATGTGGTTGCCTCTACCTTATGGCTAGTATAACAGAGTGAACCTATATAACAAAGCGAACCTATTGGTCAAAAGCCAGCCTGAAATAATCCAGGAAATAACCTTTCTCATTCTCTGTAGCTAAACCACTTTCAGGAGATCCTGAGAAATCACATGAGCTTTTTACTTTTCAAGCTCACATCCAACTACACTAAGTTAAACTTCTTTTACTCATTAAAAAGCTAGGTATAAACACAAAATGATTTGAAGTGCATCATTTGGGAAGTGAATAATTACCATGGACATACACAAGATACTTGGATTGATCTGGATGACTGTACTTAAGAAACATTTTTCAGAAAGCCATTCTTCTTTGCTAAATGGCTGTCAATATGAAAATGCATGGCGTTGGTTATTTCAGCTAAAGCATGTCAAGAACTGAATAATCAAGCGTTAGGTTACAAAGTTTAAAAGTTAATACAGCAGCACAGAGTATTTTTATTAGTGCTTTAAGTAGATAAATTAAATTGAAACGTGTCTCTTAAGCAGTCATTGAACAAGTAAGATGAGCAATAAATTGAGCTTCACATAGGCCTTTATGGTGTCTAACAACTGTGTCTGTCAACACATGGATCCTTTTCACTGTCAATTCAGCACACATTTTGCAGACCTTGGGCCTGCAATTATTTCATTTCCTTTCTTGGAAATGTAATTTCCACTTACTTTTGGAGAATAAAAGGCAGACAAAAGGGGGAAGGAGTTGCAGTATTTTCTGATTAAGATTATCTGTGTAAAATGGTAAAGGAAAGAAAAATCTATACACACACACACACTGAAGCATTTCTCAGAAACTAACTTGTCTCAGCCAAATTGCTTTTGTGTCTGGATATTGGTTCAAATGTAGCCAGACTGCTGATGTCAAATTAGGTGCTAAACAAATGTAATAGGAAAGATGAAGAATGAATATAGATCATCTTTCTGTTAGAACTATTCAAATGACTCCCGTCAAAAGAAGGAAATGCATGACTGCAGGAGAAAATATACTTTTAAACATAACGAAATTAGATAAAACTGTAAATCAGCGAAGAAGGTCATTCATTTCAAAAGAAGGGGAAAAAAAGTTAATAGTACCAATAAGAGAAATACAAGACTGGAAGAAAATACCCGTTGGCAAAAATAGATCTAAACTGAATTTCAACTTCATTTGTCCAGGCTTCACCTTAAAACTAAGACAGGTAGAGTTACCAAAAAAAAAAAGGATTCTTTCTTTCCTGATAGAACAGGAAATCAGAGGTTTAATTAACCGTGATTACAATATTCGCTGATCTGATTTGTCTCACCTCTTCCTTTTCTTTGTGTGACAAACCAGCTGACATCCTGGCAAGAGAACTAAAGCAAAACTAGACTCATTTCAAAAAGAGCTTGCCATTGTTATAAAACAAATTGATCCTCTACCAGAACTGTCTGAAACACATTCAATAGCAGGATTAACTCTTTAACAATCAAAGTGCCACTTTTCAAGCTAGGTAACTCTTTACATAGCATGTCTTCAATCTCAGGACAGAGCAATATTAAGGTACATCTTTAATTGAGAATCAGAAAATAAGGTTGTAAAAACGTACCCTTCAAAGTAAGTTGGAAGACCTAGTATCTTGTGAAAGATCTAGTATCTTCTTTGGCCACTCATGAACCATTAAGAGGAATGATCTAAGTATTTAATCTTGAAAGAATGATTAAATGTCTTCTGATGCTGAATAAGGATCATCCAAGTCAATTCTTTGTGTAGAAGAAGAATCAGATTACCAAACCAGTTAGGGATGGAATTCTCTTTATACATATCTGCTTTGCATCAGCATTAGACCTCTAAAGCTAGGAGCCTGGAATCAAAAGTTGGCTCATCAAACAGAGGAAGAAGAGTATCTATTGGCTAACCAAATCAAAAGCTCTCTAAAAGATAAACAAAGCAAAGTAGCACACAAATTAGTCATCACAGATTTTTTCTACATACTACTTAGTAAAGAGCATCATTACTTACTGAAATGTAACCTTGGAACTTGAGCATCCTTCCCATTTACACGACCCTTCACCTGGCTCAGGTGTTGGGGGGGGCGGGCTGTTGAATTCTGCCTCCAGAGTTTTCTTGTTCAAGGCTGTTTTTGTTACACTGGATACAGAACCCAACACAGGCATGGATTTGGACTCTGAGGTGGCTAATATTCCAGTTGGACCTTAAAACCAAACACATACCTCAAGTTTAATAATTCTGTTCGATGCTTATTAATATGGAACTGAAAAACAGATTAGCTGAAAATCCCCGCAGGAAGAGAAGAGGCCAAGACTTGCTAAAATTTCAAGAGCATGCTGAAAAATCTTCCTATTAGAAAACTGCTCTGCTTGGCTGGCACCAATGCTTTTCAGGGCAGCAGGACCATGCTGAGAAACTGTGTACAGACTTTTAAGCAACTATAAAACCCCAGGCCATGGTTCGCTCAACTGATCAGAGTCCTTGGTAACACTGGAATTGTCAAGTCTTTACTTCTCACAGAATATGGCTTTCTGGCAGCCCTACTTGAATCATTTGGCCTCTCAAGAGTTAATTCTTCCCCAAACTCAGCTCTGATTTTAAAGAAAAAAAATGGAACGATGTCAAAAAGCTGTTTTTAAGAAGCTCATGAAGGCTTCCTGAGCATTAAACAGCTTTTATGAACATTTTCATTTTAATGTGATTGAGAAGTAAGTGAATTTACTTCCTGTTAAATTACAGACACAGGATTATAAAAATTAAGTGGCAAAGAGTTTGGCTGTTTACCTTTTGGACTTTTCTACTCTTTAGACAGGATCAGAAAACTGTAATAGGGCTTGTTACTACAATTATTGGCATATCAATCTGAAACTTCTGGCACTGAAGCTAAACTCCATCATTACTTTTTTTCTATCTTCTGTTAGGAAGATGCTTGCTATCCTAGACAGCTTTTTCAAAGCAAGATTCTAATATGTCTTTCCTGAAACTTCAGAAGGAATCCTTAGGTATTCTTTCAAAACATAGTAATTTATAAAATGTCACAAAGGTACAAATAAAATTAGAACTTCTAAAAAATTAAGCTAAAGAACAAATGTGAAAGGTGCCACTAAGAAGAAAACAAAACTTGGGAGTCTCTTATTCTTAAACAATGTCAGATCATCTCCTAAAATGGAAAGGTACTGGTGGGTACAATCCAAAATGTTACCTAATCCTTGATCACTAATATTAAGCTCTGGAATTTTATTCTTATATTTGCATATAAATGTGTCATGTATTACAGCAGTATAACATATGAACTCCAAAAATGAAGTTCTAATTTGAAAAACTTGTATAAGAGAGGCTAGAAAATTGTTCAGCCATTCTGTTACTGCAGCTCCTTTAGACTTAATCCCCCTGGTGTGGTGGAAAGCCTCAGCTCACAGAGCATCACTGTCTGCCTCTCTCATTGATTTCTCTATACCATTGAAGCAGACAAATTTGTGACATTATAGAATATTCTGGGTCAAAAGGCCTCTCTCTCCTGCCTGCGGCAAGCCTCATGCTGCATGGCAATGAGGGAGTAAAGAGAAAAGGGCAGAAAGATCAAGAAAGTCCATTCCAAAAAGTATAACATCTGAAGGTGAGCTCAAGATTTGCTTCAGAGCAGCTCTACTCTGCTCTTGGGTAACTGCTGACTGAAACACCCAGTAGCTTTAAACAATCTGTCCCTGTAGAAAAGCAAGATCTAGTTTCTGAATATACACCAACGCCTGCTGCTTGTTCTGCGACTAAGCCAATTAAAAAGTGGGAGGGTGGTTGAGCTGAGCCAGAACTCATGTTTTCGTTACATACAAAAGAAAAATATGAAGAAAAATGCTTAATGTTTAAGATGATGATGTTGTTTAATATTATTATTATTGCATCCTGTTTAAGCTGTCCAAATATTTTCTGAGGGGCACTTGGAGCTCTTTGAAATGTCCGTTTTGTAGGCCACAAATCTAGGTATATCAAAGTAGTACCAGTTAAACCCATGAAAAAAAGTCTAAAGGAAGAGGTGCTTCTCTGGCTGTTGGCAGAGATACTGACAAACCTGAGATATGAGTTCTGCCAAGTCAGGCGGCCTCTGCCTCTCAGGATGCTTCCTCTACATTCTGTGACCTCACCTTTAGCCTTCCCATAAGCCTTTGTGTGCAGCCCACAAGCCTTTGTGTGCAAAGGAAAAAACCTCAGAGACTCAAATGCATCTGAGGAACAAACTTCTCAACAAACTCATCTTTGTAATCTGCTCCCACCATGCAGCTCTGCTACTTCAGCTCCTTATTTGTTCCCCTGGAATTTCACTTTCTCATTCCGTGACCTTTATAAAAAGATTGACATAGTAAATACCTCTGCCAACTTGATCCTTCGAAAACATACGAACTATGTTTAAAAAAAAATGGTATGATTTCTTTTACTAGATGATAGAGATGGAAGTTTGTTTCCTCTCGCTTTCTTTTTTTTCTTTTTTGCTTTGGCTACTCAAAAGAACATTTCTGCTCACCTACAAGCCACTCCCTTTAGTATGTTTCCTCTTTACCCTGCCAATTACACAGTTCTTATTTCTCTACCTAAATGTTAATGATTCTACTGAATCTCTTATTATAACTTGCCTCAAATGATACCTTGAATATCTGTATGCTGGTGGAATATAATCAATAAAACGAAAGATTCTCACCATGCCTATAAAATATGTTCCTACCTTTCTCCACATTTGAAATATTCAGCTTTCCATACTGACTAAAATGAAAATGTTTCCTCATTTCTCCCATGGAAAACTAACTGTGAAATAGCAAGTGCTGCATGTTTGACCAAGAGATTGAAGTAAGAATGTTTCTGGAGGAACATAAAGGTCAGGGGCAAAATAAAAAATGTAAATGACAGAGCACTAAAATGGCATTCACAAAGTCCTAAAATTGAATGACGACTCTGAATGACGACTACCCGAATACTTTCAGGATGAAATGGTGGAAAAGTCATAGCACTGATTAAGTTGCAAATGAATAATAATTCATTGCAGAGGCTGGTAAAAGCTTGTAAGGCACATGTCAAGACAAAAACTCTTCTACGGTATCCTTTATTTTTCCTGAGAGGTGGTCATTTTTTCTAGGGGTGGGGGTTGTTAATTCTTATAGGATATTAACAGAATTTCTAATCCAAACTAAAAACTGGACGGCTAATTTTTTTTAAGGAAGACTCAAAGGTTTCACTTTTTTATTAAAAAAAAAAAAAAAGGTTTGGCTGGTATTATGCTGCTTCTGGTTCAAGGAACCAATTTACTCAATTGAGTAAATCCCTATATGCAAACCGGGCTTCCCTTGTGACTCAGCTGGTAAAGAATCTGCCTGCAACGAGGGAGACCTGGGTTTGATCCTTGGGTTGGGAAGACCCCCTGGAGAAGGGAATAGCTACCCACTCCTGTATTCTGGCCTGGAGAATTCCATGGAATATACAGTCCATGGGGTCGCAAAGAGTTGGACACAATGGAGCAACTTTCACTTTCACTTTCTATATGCAAACTAGAACTTGATTATCAAAACCCCCAATCCTTAATATTCTAGCAATTTAAACCTGATAGACATGATGGCAATGCAAATGTAAACTGTTGTGATAGACTAATTGGAGTTGATTTAACATAGTCTAAAAGATTCAGTCCATTAGCTATGGTCACTGTTAATACTAGTTTGTCGTGGTTTTTCAAAACTAGCCTCCTGGCAACAAGGGGGAAAACCTCACAAAGGTTCCTGCTACTTCCCATGACCAAGCTGATGGAAAAAAAACTGTAGACATACAAAGTGAGTTCTGGAACACAAGATGAAGTCTAATACATGTATGTCATGACAGCAATGCAAACTATGATCTCAAGATGCTCAGATGGTCATTTATAGTGGGTGATAGAGCTGGACTTTCTCATTCATTTGGTTCACAGGCAGAGGCGATAAACTAAATGGATATGAAAAATAAAGACTATCTCTCTACATTTGTAACTGATTTGTAATTACTACTATTATTACTAGTTATTATGTGCTTTGTCCCAGGCATTGTGCTAAGCACTGTTTATATATATTGAAACATAATAACTTGATCTTTGAAATAAGCCTATGAGGTAATGCTTTTATTATTCTCATTTTATAGATGAAGAAACTGAGGCACAGAGAGAGGTTGAGCAATTTGCTTGTAGGGCAAGCAGTGAATTAAACTCATGCCCTCTGGTTAGGGAGCCTTCCCTCAGCATTGTTACCAAAGCCCTGCCTGAATGTTTTTAACCACAGGGCATCCTGCATTCAGCAAAGCAGATCCATAAGACCCTGATTCCCTACAAATAACTAAACAAACATGCCAATAAATAAAAATACATAAGAGCTCTTATGAGATATCCCTAAGTACCTTTGCCCATCCAATACTTCTCATTCACATCAAAAAATTTTTATTAATACTTTTAGAAAGATCATTTTCTGTTAAAAAAGAGACTGAAAGGAAGATGCTTAAGAGAGGAAGAGTAGAACTGTGGAGAATTCAAATCAGCTTACTACTGCTATCTGCTTCTGTTGTCAACTTTCTGCGGCGCAAAATCCTTTCTAACTCAGTTTCACTGTTTTCAGTGTGAAGGGATTTTAAGCTTCTTGAACTAGTGGATGTGTTAAGTGTCCCCTAAAGTGAAAACAAAACAAAAACAAAAAGGTTAATGTCTTAATACAATACACAAAAGAATATAAAAGTCAAACCACCAAAACATTACCAGAATTTGAATGGAATTAGGAACTAAAAATGAATTTGCTCTATATGTATTTTTAATGTACACATCTTTAACAACACATAGTGTTGGATCATTTAAGAAGACGCTACTGATGATGTAAGATGTCGAGCTTTTGTATCAAAAGAACGGCACAAGAACACCTCTCGATGGACTAACTGTATGAAATTCAGTGGTGGGAAGGTACTTGCACATTGATGATTAAGATTCTGATGTGTGTTGATCAACCACGTGGAGAAGAGAACGGATATACTGAACTCACCTGAGAAGGTTATCTTGATATGGCAGCCACGAGTTACTGAACCCATGTCCTTGCGGCACTGAAATATGTGGCTGATTCTTCAGAGAGAATGAGCCTGGCTGCACACCTGGCGATAACGGTGTCGCGCTGCCAAAGGAGGCACAGAGTGCTCTCCGGTGGCGTACCCCAAGAAGCGCTGTACTGAACACACCTCGACTTCATTGTGAAAGAGGAAAGGTTATAACCACACAGGGAGGCAAGGGAGGGCCGGCACCGCCATCCCACACTGCTGAACAGAGGAGGCAGGGACTGTGTTAGTTAGGACCCAGAAGACGCTGCAGGAAAAACAAGAGACGCCGTAGAGCTGGGCTCCTGCGGAAAGCAGTGCTGACTTTCAAGAGGCCTGAGAGAGACCCAGGGAGTGCTTCCCTGCCCTGGCTCGGGAGGGAGAGCTACGGTTTCCTGGCTCCATTACTGATCGAGTGCTTGTACAGAACACTGGGTGACGCACTTCTTCTCAGATTTAAGGGGTAAGGATTGAGCATCCCACCATAACAAGTGGTCCATTTTCTTTTCTAAGAAATGCCCACTATTTCTTCGAAATAGCCCTCCTCAGCTGTGCCACAGGCTCGTGGGGGAGCAGGGATTAAAAAAAAAAAAAAACCAGCCCCAGTTGAACCACAATCTTCTGATCAGAGAAAATCAGAACCTCAAGTGAGGTATAACTTGCCAGACTTCATGGCAGAGTTGGAAGGCAGCCTTTGTCCACCAAGGCTAACAAATAGGCCAGCCTTTGTCATCTCAGCTCACTGTGGGTTTGCCTTAATCCTGCTCCCTGCCCCCTGCCAACTTCCTGAAGGATTCTAAGAATCCTACTGGCTAAAATGGTAACTCATATTTCTTCTTTAGCCTATAAAACAAAAAAAGTAGCTTGTAAAAATTAGGTAGTTGCAAATCTCATGATATAGGTTTTTTACTTTGCTGTTTTGCTTACAAAGGTGTTTTTCTCCACCTAACAGCACAAAGTTACAGAAAAGCAGTCTGTTGTCAGAAAATTGACTGGTAAGATTAGGAGATTAGGAGTCTCTGCTGTTAGCTAGCTAACCAAAACTGATGTGTAAAATAGACATTTTAATCAGGTATCCAACATTTTCCCTCTGGAAGAACCTCTTTCTCCTCTTGATTTATTGCAAAAATTCATAAAATACATTAAAGGAAAGTCATATTACATGTAACACTATAATTATTTTATAATTTTTAAAAATCAGATAATTTTATTTATTTAACAGTTAATGAGGTTCCCACTCATCAAAGAGTTATACAGTAAGGCAGGATTGACACTGATAAGGTAATGAAAACAGAACTAAAACCAACTTAGATAAAATTTTTTTAATGTATTAGAAAAAATATTCCCAAATCATTTGTGCTGATAATTCTTAAAAAGCTGTACCATTTGTAAACAGAAAAACTCATGGCCATTACTATTAAAACCACTCATAAAACTATGAGTGATATCCAATTTGATATTCAAATTATTTGAATATCAAGGACATTCTGCATGTTATTTCTAATGGCTGGAGTTAATTCAAGAAAAAGTTATGTGTCTGTGTATATGTGTATGTACACATACATACCCATACACCATCCAGGGACATCTTTTATTGAAGAATTTATCTTTTACAATATTCTCTATTTTTGTTTGTATAAAAGCATTATTTCCACAAACTCCTGACTGTGGTGAGCTACCCTCTCATCACACCAGATACTTGAAGGAATCCATTTTCCAAGTTCTAATCCCTGAATCCCCAACTTCTTTCTCCATTCACTGACTGAGGTGGTTGATTCAGTTAATATCTCAGCAAACTTTAAATATGGAGGCAATTCTGGAGGAAAGGTTTCTGCACTGATCTCAACCGACATGACCCAGGAGCTCAGCTAATAAAGTACTGAGATTGTGTTAATTATCTATTTATATTATAGTCATAAAATTAGAGAATCAGAAATTACCACGTGGTACATACAATTCCTTCACTTCACAGAGAAGAGAATCCCTAGGAGTTTGGGGCCAGGTCCCACAGTATGTGGGTAATAGGGCTGAACCTTGAACTTGGCTTTTCTAATTTCTAGAACAGTACTCTGTTTCTACTTCAAGCCACTTTCATCATTTACCAGTTTTAACATATTACTAACTGGGAGATTTTGCAAAAATTAATGCCAGCGGCCAGTGATTTGTTATGTAAGTGAATACTGAAATGTCTCTGGTAAATAAATTGTTAAAATTCATGTTAGTTAAATGTTCATAAAACTGACAAATAATTGTCAGGGAGTAATTTGACAAAAACTCAAAACGATCAAAAAGACCTAAAAGAGAATTTTTTAAAAGCTGGTTTTGTCTCTTTGACTTAGAGGCAACTGAACTTGAGACTTTAATTTCTACTGATTCATTCTTTGGAAATCATCATTTTCACTTAAGAGTGGCTTTTAAATGGCTGGGGTGTCTCCAGAGATTTCCTTGTGTGACTATGAGAAGTAAACTGTATATATTTTTATCCACAGACTACACAACTTTAAAAATTAAGTGCAAATAGACTTGGAAAAGTCAGTTCAGTCAACACTGAGACTTTTAAAAGTTGACCTGAAAAGTGTACAAAAGAGTGAAGTTTTCCAACTCCCCAAAACATGAGATGTGTTTTCTACCTGTGTGCTAAGTTTCAGCGGTAGGCTTACAACTCAGGTCACTTTCATTTCAGCAAAAACACCTGTACACCGAGCTCATTCCTGGTTTCTGTTCAGGAACAGAACTGAACCCAGTGCTTCTTGGTATCTCTTGGTACCAATGCTCATACCCCGCTTCAGTACACAATCGGCAGACTTTTCCTGCTCTTTTCATGTTTGTTTCTCACAGGCCACGACTGTGAGGTTGGTGGCATGTGCTTTGCTTGGTACTAACTCCTAATAGTCTGAACTCTAGCAGGAAGCACCAATACAGCCCCATCTAATGGGGGGAGGGGCGCTTCGTTTCTGTCCTAAAAGAAGTGGTATGGTGTCTTGGCTCAAGGTGACTAGGAGCTCCAAGTATCAGCCCTCAAAGGCAACTTCTGCAGTGGTAGTGCAAAGTTGCCATGTGGGCAGAGGAAACTAGGGGAGGGCATCTTGAGTTCCACTTCTTAAAAATGTAAGGAAAGAATAACAGCTGTTAGTGATACACATCAATACCATGCAAGGAAGGGAAATCTAATGATATACCCAGGGCAAAAGAGGATGGGGGCAATCTGCAGAAAAGAAAGATGTTTTAACAGTTTTTATAACTTGCAAATTATTCTACAAAAACCTGTTCATTAATTTCTCTCCTTGAAGTGGCATAAAACTATAGTGAGTATGAGTGTCTAGTGAACATGACCTTTAAAAGAAATGCTGTGATTCAGTAAACTTGCTACCATCCAGCATTATCAGGAAGTGGGATATCTTGGGTAATCAAATATCACATGTGTCTCATGCCGATGACTGATTTTTTAAACCTAATTTTAACAACAAACTGAGTGCAGTTTACCTTTTCATTGAGGATCAGAACTATAACCATAGAACCTCAGAATACCCCGAGGGCATCTTTACGAACAAGAATTAACAGTGTAATGTAGAGACAACAAAGACGATTGTCATAGGGCATCTTCCTTACCAGAACACTGGATTAACAAAATTTTCTCCCCAAAGAAACCATTAGATAATAACCATCTATTTTTTCATACTATGTTTTAATACTTTATTCTGTAAGGAGGCCACCACTGTTAACCAGTATTGCATACCTCTCATAAGTACTAATTCCACTCACCTAAAAACTACAGCAAACTAATTAAGCCATTCTGAGTTAAGTCACTGTTTCATGCTTGATGAAAATAATTTTGTTTACCACAATTATGTGGATGTCTGCATGCAATGCATAATTAGCGCAGTAACAACAAACATGGGAATATTAGCTCTGTACCTCCGCCCCCATGTTTGTTGACTTACTGTGCATAATAACTGGTATTGAGACTGTAACAGGATCTGAGAACAGAGCTCTTAGCATCTGAAACATTTTCTAAGTGAGGCATTTGTCTCTGACAGAAACTGTTGGACAGGGCAGTATTCATTTATTCTGCTGGCAAAAGCTCAGACTTTGGAAAGAAGAAATATGATTAGAGATGGGCATTAAGCATGTTCTCCAATGGATGTGAATTACTTTCAGAAAATGAAATTAGTAACATAAAGAAAGGAAATTTTATTTTATTCTCCAATTTACAATCAAATGACTTTTTTTAAACTGTGAGGAAAGCAGACTGTGACTCTGATGCTAACACATTTGGGTAGAAGCTCAGATTTATATTTAGGTGCCAAGAATTCTGCTTTCATTCTCCAAAGTTAAGCACCACTCATATGAGATACTACTATTCAATATACTGTTATTATCTACTATATTTATTGTAGATTTACTTATAAATAAATCTACTGTCATCTATATAGAGATTTACTTATAAGATTATCTACTATATTTATATCTATCTACTATATGTATAATATATATATACTATATTTCTGGTATCAACAAGCATGTGCTGATTCTCACATCTGGCAAGACACTTTATCTTCATGCTGCAATGCAAGGATTGGAGGACAAGAACAGGAGACAATGATTTGGGGGGAAGTGTACCCATTCTTTTAGAATAGAAACAGCAAAGTACTGACATATTATTAACACAACCAATGTAGGAGTCCACAGCACAATTGAGTAAACTATCACAAGTAATGAGGCTTATTGTAAATGGAACTAAAATATATCAAAATATATAAATATATATCATATATATATATCAAAATATATAAAAATCATCAAAGTAGAGTTTAAAAATATTCTTCCATTTTCCCATTAACTAAGTAATAAACTGAGATCTATTCTTACCAGCATTCCTTTTAGTTCATTCACTGCACTTTCAGAGCCTTTTGCAGATTCTGGCTACAATTTTAAAAAGAAGAAAAACAACTGAGTAATTCAGTTTTAAAATACCAAACAAAGATTTTTACATGGCAAAGTGTTGGTAACTTATATTGACTATGTGTTTTAATAATTAGGTCGATGTCTAACAGTTAGGAAAAAAAATTAGACATGTTAGTGCTCCCAAGAGGGCAGTTAAACAGAAAATTAGAGGTGCTAGTTAAAGCAAAAGGATTCGAGCCACTATTCGTCTACATGTTTTGTTACTTCTTGCTATTATCATATGTAGAAAAGGTTTGGTAAACATTAAATTTCAAATATTTAATTCCAAATAATTTAGAACATTTTACAACAAACTCTTCTCCACTCTCATTGCTGGACTTAAGCCAGCAAGTGAGGACCAGGTAAGTAGCAGTGCAGAGCAGAAAGCAAGCGACAGGGCAGAAAACCTCTCTCAGCTCCATCAGTTTCGGGCAAAGGCCAGCTCACAGAGGCCTGGGAGGTCTCATCTCATGAATTTCATAACAGAGATCAACAAAGAACCCGCATTATAGGAGAACGTTAGCACCACTGGCTCTCAAAGCAGTAAATGACCTCAGAGGGTGTGTAGTCCAAGCACTTCATCTTTTTTTAAAAAATATTTATTTATTTATTTATTTGGCTGTGTCAGGTCTTAGCTGTAGCATGTGGGATCTAGTTCCCTGACCAGGGATCGAACCCAGGCCCCCTGCATTGGGAGTGTGGAGTCTTAGCCACAGACCTCCAGGGAAGTCCCCATTTCATCTTATTTATGAGGAAAGTTTCACCTTGAGGAATTCTGTATTTGAGGCCGGTGTCTTGATGACAAGTTCAGCTCTCATCTGGCGACACCATGAATAAAATCATTTGAAATGAAGTTCTGTGTAATACTTGCCTGCCCCACCATACCTAACAGTTTCTGTGGACCCCCTAACTGATTTAAGAGAAGGAAAATTTGGCATGAGGCCCTCAATGAAAAGACAACTGAAAAAAAAAAAAAGAAATCTCTGATTTTCCTTATACCACTTCCTTTCATAAAGGATAGAGGTAAAGAGAAAACCTGCAAGTCACAGTGAAAGGAATGCCTCAGGCCTCTCATTCTCAGAAAAGAGGCCAGGCTAATCTTGCATCAAGAAATGGGAGGTGATTCATTGCAACCTATCATCCTTTCCTCTCAAAAGGTAATAAAAGAATAAGATCCTATTCCGATTTTTTTTAAATTGTACAGTCAGAAAAAGTGAGAGAGAGAGAGGTTTGCTGCTCATGTACAAATTAGACTAAGGCATCTGATTTCCAGAGCCTCAGTTTTCTGTGATATATACATGCCATCGGTGCCAGTCAAAAGCTCTAAGACACTAATTTTAACCACACCAGCACCACCAAGAGCATCAAGGAATTCAGTAATATGCAGTTAAATGAGTACCTTCAAGGCAGGCCTGACTTTTGCAGGTAAGCTGTTTGGTGAGAAGTTATGACTTTTGAACAAATGCCCTGGCTACAGGCATACTCAAAGGTGCTGCTATGCCACTCAAGTTGCCCTCTGACTGCACAAGCTTTTTCAAGCTTGGACTGCATACTTCACAACTGGTGACATATCAGGAAAGCACTGATGGTACTGGGGCAAGAAGTGTGGGCTGCAGCATGCGGTGACCATTTGTTTTAAAGGTTACTGACCAGGTCATTCAGCACTATATCTACATAGTTTAATGATTACCAGCAGGAAAAAAAAAAAAAACAGTTGTCCACTGATCCTTGTTCAGGTGTTTTCCAGGTTTTGAATTGACATTAAATAATGTGTAACTGTTGAAAGAGCCACGGCATGAAAGAAAAAGGACACAGTGATGTTCTGAAAATGAAAGTACACACAGAACACTGATTGCTTACGATTTAAGAAGTTTTCAACATTTTTCTTTCTAAACTAATTTTGTTTCTTTTATGACACTGCATTTTTCCTCTAGTAATAACTTGGTTTTGCTATTCTTTCCCAAATAGTTGTGACAAGAAAGCCATAAAAATGTATTCTCTTTCTAAGGTTCTACTTAGACCCTGCATTTTAAAGTGTTTTCACATTTTATTTCATTTGACCTTGATGACAACTGTGAGAGTCACAGATGGTATTCTGCGGAGAAGAAGCCTGGGAAGCTGGGTGACTCACAGCCAAGTACCCAACTCCAGCAACAGTGCCCTTACACTCACTAGACATTGGCACTGCATACTTACACACTCAGCTTCTTGTCAAGATGCACATTCTGTCTGCTTTCAGAAAACTAGCATAGGACTGAGTTTTTCCCCATAGCTGGCTGAAGCTGCACTAGATGTAAATCCTCTCTTGGAATGAAATATTCATTCCCTCTGCTCAGCCCCCTCTCCGTGGACCGCCCACACACCATGGCTATTTCTGCCCTGCCCAGCGATTTTGTCTGCCAGTGACAAAGAGGCAACTTTAAAAGCCCAGCAGAGTTTCTAATGAACAGTCATGACACGCGAGAACACCGAAGCAGCTGAAGAGGGGGCATCCTTGAGAGTGAGAAAGAACCACAAAGTTCAGTTTAAAAGAAGAGGAGGAGGAAAGAGAAATTTGCTAATACCTTATTTGGTTGAGGAAAGAAAAAAACATCTTTCAAGAAAAATGTCAAAAGCTCTATGATTGGGTCTATTTAAGTAGGTCAGACATACAGGGGAAGGGAAAAGTTCTGAATCAGATGCTGGGTGCTTCCACAGTCCTGGAGCTCACTGTGGTCTAGTTTAGAAGATAAAGATATATAACGAGTTTCTCCTTGAAGTGACCTGGAGTGGGCTTGTGAAATTAATGAGGTTAATCATATAAACCTCATTATTTTTCAAAAGCTGCCTGAGGTCTGTTCTGGTATTATTATCCTCGACATACGGAAAAGAAACCCCAGGAAGGCAAGAATCTTTGTCTCTTGTTTACTGCTTTATTCCCAGGGCCTAAGATAGTACTTGGTGCATAGCAGACAATAAATATTTGTTGAATAATACTGTCTCTCTCAAGTAGACGGCAGCACCCTGCAATCACAGGATTTTGGGGCTGGCCAAAAGTTCATCTGGATTTCCCGTAAGAGCTTATAGGAAACCCAAACGAACTCTCTGGCCAAACCCATACTTCCTGGAGTGTCTGAGGTTTACCATGAGTCAAACAGAGTCCTCCTGAAACGTGCTTTCATGGAAGCAAAGGTTTTTATGACACGTGATCCTTAACCCCAGATTTGACAGTCAATTCTAATGTAGCTTTCATCAATTTTACATTTGAAAAAAGAAACATCAAGGGGGAAAAGCATCTAGTCATTCCATACCTTTGCATTGGGCCTAGCCGTCTGATTAACCGGCCTGAGATGAACTCCCTTTTTAATTCTGTCCATCATCTCTTCAACTGCTTGCCGCTTCAGGTCTGTGACTTCTTCAGCTATTCAAAACACACACACGTAAATCATCTTATGTTACAAGAAAACAATTACTTCCTGCTTCTGGTGACTTGGAAAGATTGCACTATGTAATTAACCACAGTCATTTTTCAGACAGAGTCACAAAACACCAATAATTTACTAATGTTAACAGTTCCCAGGTAGCAGTATTTTTTCAATAAAAAACCTTTTAATAAGAGGTTTGCTTTGAGAAATAAGAGTTATAAAACCTTAAGGTCTAATTTTTAGCCTGGAAATCAATATTGGCTCATCTACGTTAAACAAAGTAGATTTTGTTCTGTTTGTCAACATAATAAAAGACCTGGATCTCTCCAGGTCCTCAAAAATCCAATTTTGTACCTAACTCCAAATAATCATTCACCTTTGCCTCAGAGATGTTTTTGTAATTTGTAGTATAAACTATGTAAAAGAAATTAGCCCAAAGCAGGAATAATCATCGAAAAGCCCATTAGAAAATAAAAGATCAAAGAGATCTTTTTACCTGTTGGAAGAAATCCACAGTCAGAAGATGAGCAGCAAATAGATAAAATCTATTTTTAAATTGTCATCTTTTGTTTAGGAATCACATGGGAAGGAAACACTTAAGCAAACCTTTTTCAAGTCTTTTAAAACTGTCAATGTTGAAAGAAAACATACATACAAAAATGACTGCAATTAAGTAATTAAATTTGATAAAAATAACTCAGGGTCTATAGTTTAATCTTTACACTCTTTTGCTGGAAAAACAATAAAGCTGTGGAAAAATGTATCAAATAGATGAATACAACTGAGATGAACTAAGACTTGCTGGTCAGAATAGTGAAATTTGTCTCTTGCAGGACAGCTTGATCAAAATCACTGAATCATTTTGGAACATTTATCACTATTTACACAGCCCTAGATTTTGTGTTTATCTCCAGCTAAATCATTGCATCCACTACATTTAAGTTTAAATATCTCACAGAGACCCTCCACTTAGCAACTTTAGTGGATTCCACACTGTGGGGCAGTCATATGGTGGACACTCAGCAAGTATCTACCTATTGACTGACTTGCTAAAAGTTTAGGTTTCAAATGGCTATCCATAGTTTTATTATTTGAGCAGAAATAATTAAACCTCAAAAAGGTGGCTTCTAGATGTAGGCAATCACAATTACTTATATATCCCTCAGCTAATTCACAGTGGTGTCAGGCTTTGCGCTAAGGAGGCCTAAATCATGGCTTCTTTTACTGCTACGTGGCAGACTTCACTCTAACTCAGAGAAGCTACTCCTCTTATGCATGCTGGGGGAGAAGGAAGTGGGATCGACACAGGGAATACAGAAGGATCCATCATCCTCTATTCTGCAACATCACAGTGATTGGATCACTGCTACATCCACCACATAACCTAGGTCTTCTCACACAGTCCTGATTTCAAATAGTTTTTGTGCACCCTCATAAGTCACTGATCAGCTGGGAATTCAAATTTCTCAGTATCCAAACAGCATTTTACAGTTCTAGAAGTTAAAATAAGTATCTTTTGCCAGACAACATGGGAGACATGGCACCAGAGTGAGAACGCATCCACCAACAGATGGATGATAAAACTGTAGAAGGATCAACGACGTGCCCTTAAGCAGTATATTCTAGGGCCACCTCTGCTCACGAACATCAACAAGGGGACAGACAAGAAAATTACTATGAATAGAAATTCATTCATTCACTCACTCATTCACCAACTCACTCATTCAATATCTAAATACCTGCTGCACACCACACAGTGCTTTTGCTGACCCTTTTCAGAATGAGAGGAAGTAAGACCCATATCTATCATTCAAGCACCTGGTAAGGGTATGGCATTTATTCCTGGGAATTAAAAAAAAAATCTTCAGAAAATATTTGATATTCAGAAAGGCTGCCATTTTGAGTAAGACTTGGGAAGAGCCGCGCGGCAACGGGAACACCGCCTACAAACAGATTAGCACTCTGTAAGGAATGATTGAAACCCAATTAAATGCACCATACAAAAACTAATTAAGGCAGACAGATGGAGAATTATGGTCAACACCATTCAGATCTGCTGCAGCATCTAACATAGCAGGAATTTAAAGCAGTTTCTTATTTTTGCTTGCCAGAATCATAGTGATAATTCAGAGAAGTGCTACTATCTGCATTGTGTACAGATGATAAACCAGGCTTTAATGTCTCAGGCTTTTTCAAATGTAAAACCTTAATTGGTCTTAAGGAAAAGAAATCATTCTGACCAGATTCCCTACTCAGGCACAATACGAGGCTTGGTTAGCTACACAAGCTCTCTCTCTCACCAACGCTGTTTTTGAACTAGCAAAAAGCAATCTACACGAACTTCTGAACTATTAAGCAGTTCTAATAAATCTGCAAGAATCACCTACAGAGAGCTCATGGTATGTTTTGTAATTCTTTTCTGCAATCATGCAGTTGGTAATTGTCTCACAAAAGCATGTAATCAGGGGGACAATAGAAATATGCAGGATACTGGAGATTAAAGAAAAGGGACCAACGAAGACAAGGGGTGTAATGTTATTGAACTGCCACAGGAAAATAAAATCAAATGTTCTTTGAGTTAGTGCTTCAAGGTCAGTCTTGGATCAGAAAGCTACATGTAATTAATTGAGGCTTAAATTTTAAGACCCACTTGAAAAATGTTAGCTCTTCAAAAAAAAAAAAGACTTACAGACAAAACCGCTACATTATTGCTCAGTAAAACATTTTGTTACTACCTAGAGGAAACCAAAATGAATTTCTAAATTTCACTGGTTTACTTTTCACTTTCGATAACTTTTTTTTTTTTGGTAACATTATTTTTAAAGGCATTTAAAAAACTTAAGTCATCATGAGGTACAAAATTTCTTAAGAACACATCATGGTTGAACGAGTTTTGATTTGACCTAAGACCATAAAGTTAAGAAAATTTCCTATATGACAATGATCATGAGAGTCTGCCAAATGAGGACTTCTGCCCTTCACGGTGGTTGGTACCATGTCTGTATTTTTCTACTGAACGTTTTGAGTATTTTCTATGTTCTGGGCACTACTCTAAATACTTTACCTGTGGTGAGACTTGTAATTCTCAGAACAATCCCTTGAAATAGGAACTATTAGTCCCATTCTACAGATTAGCAAACTGAGGTAAGACAATATCAACAAATTAAGTGACCTAAATATCAAATACGATAAAGAGCAAGCATACCTCTCAAATCTCAGAACCTATTCAATAAATGCACTCATCAAAATTAGAGTTATTAACTGCAAAGTATGTAATGCTTTCTTGTATTGAGATCTTAGGACTACTTCTAAAATATTTCAAAGGCCTTCCCTACAATCAAGGTTTTGAAGAGTCATAACCTAGCAAGAAATGCTTCTCCACTGCAAAACTGAAAAGCAGACCAACTGTACAGTAAGAGCCATAATATGATGCTAATGCAGGGCTGGTTCCTACATTATAAGTGCAAACTCCAAAGCGTCTCAGCTGACCGCAGTGTGTGACGCTCTACGTCCATTCATCATGCATTTACTCACTGTCCATTCAATGACAATTTTTAGTGCAAATGATTAACAAGACGCTATAGACAACTACCTTGCCAGACGAAGTATGGATATGGTACCTATCATTAAGGCAGTATGATTTTAGGATGGCTCCAGTCTAAAAGTCTCCTGAGCAATGCCTTAGATGTCAGTAACTACTTAGATTCCCTAAGTAACAAGTCAATAGCTCAAGGATGAGGGAGAAAAATGCTGCTGTATTTCATGAATTGTAAATGAAATATCATTTGCTTCAGGAAAACTGCATGGTTTCTAATACTTGGAGTTAATAAGTTCCAGAACACTTTATTTTCAATTTAAGGATGCTGCTGAGGTTCATCAGTTCAGTTCAGTGACTCAGTCATGTCCGACTCTTGGTGACCCCATGGACTGCAGCACGCCAGGCTTCCCTGTCCATCAACAGCTCCCGGAGCTTGCTCAAACTCATGTCCATCAAGTCGGGGATGTCATTCAACCATCTCCTCCTCTGTCGTCCCCTTCTCCTCCTGCCTTCAATCTTTCCCAGCATCAGGGTCTTTTCTAATGAGTCAGTTCTTCACATCAGATGGCCAAATTATTAAAGCTTCAGCTTCAGCATCAGTCCTTCCAATGAATATTCAGAACTGATTTCCTTTACGATTGACTGGTTTGATCTGCTAATTTGATAAGCTAATAATCAATTTATTGAGATGGGGAATTTATTTTATTCTGACTTCTTTCCTGACCCTGTAAGACTTAACCATTTTCCCAAAACGAGATTGAAACAAACAAAATTTTAATCTTAATTACAAGTGTCAGGGAAGACTTACAGTCAGTAATCAGTAATCCAAGAGCAGGGCTGCCCTGCAGATCACAGAAACCAGGACTTCTAAATGCTGCAATGCCCTGGCAAAGCAGAATTTACCTTTTAGCGGCATTACAATAGGCTGCAGGAAGCAAGCCAAAAAAGTCAGTCCACACAGATACAATCAAACAGCTTTTGTCTGTAATGGTGCTGCAAGGTGCTTGCTAAGAAGAAAAGACTAAGTCTAAACTTTGATTCAATCAATAAGCATGAAAGCTGTGGATGGCTGCAGAGAGGAAGGAGTGAACCTTCACAGTCTGCAATCTGCTCAGGGGGAGAGATGTAGAAATAACTCCAACACCTAGAGCAGAGTCTTGGGGTGGGACATTAAATCCTTATGGGAACAAAATTTGAAGCCAACTGCTATAGCAACACACAGTAATGGGGCCATTCATTCTGGATTATTAATACTAATAAATAAGAGAAAAGGAGGAAGAACCAAGGAACCCACCAGACAATATGCCTGGAATCTGATGGGAGACATGGAATTAGGACAGCACCTTGGCAGAGGGAGGGCAGGAGGACAATTGTGGGATGAGGAAAGACAGGAACGAACACACGGGGAACTTATAGGCAAGGGCCAGCCACATGGTAAAGTACATGTAATAGGAAATAGGAGTGAAAGTGTTGCTCATTCAGTCACATGCAACTCTTTGCGACCCCATGGACTGTAGCCCGCCAGAATCCTCGGTCCATGGGATTCTCCAGGCAAGAATACTGGAGTGGGTAGCCACTCCCTTCACCAGAGGATCTTCCTGACCCAGGGATCAGAACTGGGTCTCCTGCACTGCAGGTGGATTCTTTACCACCTGAGCCACCAGGAAAGCCCTTTGAGAAATGAGGCTACACAGTAAAGGCAGAAAACCATCTCTAAGCAGACCACAGGGCTCTGGATTCTATTCTGCCTCAGAGGGCAGTACAGAAATGTGGTAAGATGAAGGACAACTCTGTTAGACCCAGGATCTGAGAACACTGCACTGCAGAGGTATGAACATGGCTGGAGTGGGGCTAGGAGACCCAGGGGCAGGAAAAGGGAGCCAAGAAGTGTCCACTCATCTGGGCCTGAACCAGGCAAACCCACCATGCTCTGTAAGTAACGGGGGTTGAGCAAACATTGTAGAGTTTAATTTGGGTTCTACAGTTCTCAGGCATAAAGGGCCAAGATTTGGCCCTGGCATTTCAAGCTTTTGATTTCAATGTGGCCACACATCAAACTGCCCACGGCTCTGAGCTCTGACTTGGCACCTACCCACCTGGTGCCTTGGCTCAACAGGAAAGCTCTTCTCTCCATTCCCATCTCTCCCTATCCTCAACTTCTCTCTCTCCAAAGAATCAGAGTCCCGTGAATGTTACCTCCCTGAACAGCTCCTGAATTTATCCATTTCTTTCTCTCTCTGCTACCACCCTCATCTCAGCCCCATCAACGTTTGTCTGAATAAGTGCAACAGTCTCCCCTCACCTGCTGTCACTTGTGTAGTCTTTTCTCTGTTCTCTCACTGTAGCCAGTGTGATGTTTCACAAAAGATGCAACTCGTGTTACCCTCCTACTTAAACATCTACTGTCCTTAGAATAAGTACCAAAATCTTGATCACCGCCTCTAGAATCTGGCTCCTGCCTACGTAGCAGACTTCTCTTGTACCCATGTTCTAATAATATCAACTTTTTTTTTTTCAGTTTCCTAATATGCCAAGCTCCTTGCCCACTCTGGACCTTTGAATTGTTGCCCTTCTGTGTGATCTATTATACTTTACCTTAAATACCCTGACCATCTAAATCCACAACTACTCAGCTGAAACATCACTTGCTGACACTGAGCAGTCTACCTCTATAATCTCTTAAAACAGTACCAATAGTCACTCCTCCACAGTACTGATTCCAAAACGAATTTAAATAATTATATACTGACTTGGTAATTATTGGTCTACTTCCTGCTTCCCTCACTCAAATGTGACTCTACATCTTGTATCTCCAGTACACAGCCCTGGAGGGTTCAGAGCAAATACTTGACAAAGTCTCAGTTCACTTGCTACCAACTGTGAAAGCCTTTTCCCAAATTCCTCATCTGGAATTACACCCCAAAGTACCTCATCCCTTAGTGAAAACACATTTCCAGCATCCCCCACATTACAGTGACATGTGTTCATCTGCTCCAGATGGTAAGCTACATGAAGGCAATGGCTGTTCTTTTTCTTAACAACTATTCTTATAGTTGTTAAGTTCAAATTTCTCCCCAATAATCTGTTCATAGTCAAAGAGCTCAACAAGTACATCTATTGCTGAAAAACTGTATATCATCAACAACTTAAAAAGTGAACCCAGGGAGGTGGGTTAGAATTACTTGTTTCTGGTTGAGCTGCCTTTTCTTTCTTGGCACCACCGCTGCTGGAGTGGGATCTCTTCCGGATCATGGACATGAGGGATCTTTGCAAGAAAGAAAAAAGATTGATAGGAGATTAGCAGATGACTTAAGAGCCAAGAAATAGAAGGTACAGGTTCCAAATAATCAGTAAAAATCCAACTCTTCTCTAAGTATGTGAATATAGAACTAGCATTTAAGTATCCTACTACTTAATAGTGGTACAGTAGTATAAGTAGCCTACTTACACTTTCAATAAATTGTTAAATTTTTCATCACTGTAAGAAAGAGAAAGATGTCCCATCCCTTTCCTGTGTAAAACCAAACTAATTACTGTAAGAAGGAGGCTGCTAACATTATTATTAATATGATGCAGAGACATCTATAAAGTAAAATAGATACAGAAAACCTTTCAGTATCCATATTTAAAATTCAGAAACAGCTAACAGACTAGATAAGTATCTAAAGTAGTTTAGGGATATATATGTAGGCAAAAAAAAAAAAACTTTTAAGAAAATAAAAGGAAAGGACTCAAGAGGAGGAAGGAATAATGTAAAAATTTACTTTTTTCCATTCTGTCAACTAAAAGGCAGCAGAATACAGGATCTACTTGTTAACATTCCAAAGCAGGGTAGGGTGCATGGAGGTGGGGACTGTCACTAGTCCGAGGCCTCTCTTTAATCTCTCACAACACCGTAACCACCCCACCTCTGCTTCTGAGAGGAAGTTTTGGGAATGTGTATTACTGTACGAAAAGATTACAGAGCAAGAAGTTATTTGTACTGCTCAGAACAGTTGTATATATTTACGTAAATGAATGAGAACAGATGTCCTTCCCTGTAAACCACCTAAGTGGATGAGAGAAAGTGTGAGCTTTAAATGTTCTGGAGTACAAGTTGAAGACTGATGTGGTGTCCACAGGAAAGTCATCTGTACTATTATAAAGAGCTCTCTGACAAGCTGGTGCTAAGACTAAAGAGAAACTAGCGTGGGCTTCACAGGACAGATGAGAAGACCAGGACAAGACATCTGAGACTAGTCAGTCAAATCTCTGGCAAAAATTGCCCCAGGTGGAAGTATTCATCTGGAAATTGTTCTAGTGTTCTTCACACCCGCTTTGATGGTTAATTTTGTGAGTCAACTGGACTGGGTCATAGGGTACTCAGAGAGAGGTGTGTGTGTGTGTGCACGCGTGTGCATGTGCACATGTGTGTGCAGTCGTGCCCAACTCTTCGTCACCCCATGGACTGTAGCCCACCAGGCATCTCTGTCCATGGGTTCTCCAGGCAAGGATACTGGAGTGGGCTGCCGTGTTCTCCTCCAGGGCAATCTTCCCAACCCAGGAATTGAAGATGGTCCCCTACACGGCAGGCGGATTCTTTATCATCTGAGCCACCAGGGAAGCCCACTCAGATATGTGGTCAAACAGTATTCTGGGTGCTTCTCTGAGGGTTCCGGAAGAGATGAACATCTAAGCTGGTAGCCTGGGGACTTCCCCGGTGCTCTGTTAAGACTTCACCTTCCAAGGCAAGGGTGTGGGATCCCACATGCCTCTCGGCCAAAAAACCAGAACACAAAAGCAGAAGCCATATAACAAATTCAATAAAGGCTAAAACATGGTTCATATATGTTAAAAGCTTTAAAAAAAATAAATTGGTAGCCTGAGTAAAGTGGAATGTCCTCCCTAATGTGGGATGGGCCCCAGTCAGTTGGTTGAAGGCTTGAATGCAACCAAAGGGTGAGCCTCCCCCAAGTAAAGGGGACTCCCAGGTGGTGCCAGTGGTAAAGAACTCGCCTGCCAATGAAGGAGATGAAAGAGACTCGGGTTCAATCCCTGGGTTGGGAAGATCCCCTGGAGGAGGGCATTTTGAAACCCACTCCAGTATTCATGCCTGGAGAATCCCATGGACAGAGGAGCCTGGTGGGCTATGGTCCACAGGGTCGTAAAGAGACATACACGACTGAAGCTACTTAGCATGCACCCCTAAGTAAGATAAAAATTCTCCTGCGTTGAAACTAGGACATCTGCTCTCTCTTGCCTTCTAAGTCACGAAAACTGAAACACTTCCTCTTCCTGGGTCTCCAGCCTGCTGATCTTCAGACTGAAACTACACTGCAGGCTCTCCTTGGTCTCCAGCTTGCTGATTTATCCTGCAGATCCTGGGACTGGTCAGCCTCCATAGTCACGTGAACCAATTACTTGGGCTACCTTCTCTTTTTATGTATACGATGTATGTGGACACATGTACGCCATCCCCCCATTGCTTCTGTTCCTCTGGAGAACCCTATAACCCTACACACTAACACACCCTACTCTTTCCCCATGAGCCTGTCCTTTCATTTGGCTACTACAAAAGGACCAAGGTATGCTTTCTTCCTCTCTTATCTGTCTTCCATCCATCTTCCTGGTCAAATGAGCAGAAAGTGGGACCGGGGGAGGAGGGGCCCAATAAAGCCCCTGAAAGAGGGCACAGGCCCTAGTCTTTTTTTCCCACTTTCACTTCTACCCAGGACCTACACCACAATAAAACAAACAGCTCAGGAACAACATTGGAAAACCTTGTGAAACTCAATACATATGCAAATATATTTCTTTGACAAGAAAGTACTCCTTATCAAAAAATGAAAATCTCTTTCTACTGAGAAATTATGCCTTTGTCTTATACTATTTAAATTCATCTTAAAAGAAAAATCATTCATGCTATTCAATAAAAATTTTCTGTAATGGGCCTTACAAGAGTTCATGTTTTAGACATACATACTCTGCATTCTAGTTTCATTTCTCAGTATAACTGTAGGGTGCTCTTTGAGAAAATACTCTATTTAGGTTAGTTTACTTTTAATTTGAAGGGCTCTCAAGATTTCAGAGACTAAAACTTAAAGGCCAACAGCAGGATTATAATTGGTGTTTCTTTTTTTAATAATTGGTTTTTAATAGTTCCCTCTCCTCACAGACACAAGTGACCTTTCTTATCAAGCCCAAAATTCTAGACCTTAGCAAAAGATCAAAGTGATGAACTTCCTATTTTAAATGTCAAATTCAGAATATCTCCTACAGCTTTAGCGACCCAGGAGAGAAAGAATTTAAAATACCTGAAATTCTTTCAATTGACTCTTAGATCGATCACGTGTAAAAATTATTTTGCCTTAACTACTTCAATGGCTTAAAGTGGATTATGTCATACCCTACTCAGTAAGGAAAACTAATGAGAATCTTTTTAAAAGGCAGAGTTCCATTTTCATGGTCGTGTGGGAGGACCATGTTACTCATTCTATTGAGATGGATCCGCAAAGGTGCAAAGTACGAATAAATGGCCTCTCTGTGTGAACGGATTAAACAAATCACATGAGTTAATGAAAGGTAAAACTCTATCAAAGCTTTAAATTTCATTTGATCAAGAATAAATTACACACAAGTGGTTAACATCATAAAATGAGGAGGTAAACTGTCACACAGCAGGTAGGTTGTCTTATGTACATGGATGGTAGACTGAAAAACCACAAAAAAGGCAGAATTTGACTAAAGATGTCCTGGGGTGTATTGTGCTTAACTCAAGCTCCCTGGCATCATCAAGTCACCTTTGGCTCAGAAAAAGCAAATTTTTGTCCTGATATGTGATTTCCTGTTGCAAGAATTTAAACATAATTTCTTCTTATGAAATGTAACTCAGTCGGAGTTATTAACGGTTTAAATATGAGGTTAAGGAGTTAAAAATAATTATATTTTTAGCTTAATTACTAGTTTACAACAATAAGAGCTGTAAGGTTTTTATTAGTTCAGTATTTTTATTTTTTTGAATAACTGAACAAACTGTAGCTTTTCAAATTAGTGAGAGAAAAACATGAAAACATTCTGGAGAAGCTCAAAATTCCTTGATCTTCTGGTTAAAGGGTAAAAGAAAATCCTAATGACAAGGACGGAAAGTTTAAAACTGAAGTATCAAAAAAGTTTTTATGTCTAGCTCCTCAGCTTGGAACATCCACATGAAACTGGAATATCTGTAAGAAGGACACTGTAGGCCACAAGATGTCTTTGACAGGTATTTAAGACCGTAAATATATTACAAGAGATGGGCTTCCCTGGTGGCCCAGTGGTAAAAAAAAAAAATCCACCTGCAATGCAGGAGATGCTGGTTTGATCCCTGGGTTGGGAAGATCCCCTGGAGGAGGAAATGGTAACCTACTCTAGTTTTTTTGCCTGGGAAATGCCATGAACAGAGGAGCCTAGAGGGCTACAGTCCATGGGGTTCCAAAGAGTCGGACACAACTTAGCAGCTAAACAACAATATTTTGTAAGAAGGGAATGATACACTGGCCTTCGGAAAATTCTCTGAAACACCTGCTGATATCTTTCGAACATTTTACCCCTGTCTAATGATGCATTCTAAGCCAGTATTCTCTAAAAAGGATATCAATAACACAAACTTCAGTTTCTCGGACAAGGACTAACACCTGACGCAGAGCGGTCTTCCTGGATGTGCTTACCGGATAGGATTGGGGGGAGGAGGGGGAGGAGGTGGTGGGGGAGGAGGTGGTGGAGGCGGCACTGAATTCTCAGACTGGTTCACCCGCTTCTGGAGCTCATCAACTGCACAGGGAGCAAGCATTCGGGAAAAAAAGGTGAAATAAGCAACTGAGCACCTTATATACATGTAAAGGGAAAAAAACCACCTCTTTCACAATCACATGCTTTTACTAGGGCAAAATTAGAAATTCCAGTATGAAGCTGCAGAGCCTTTTAAACTTTTTATCATCAGTGAGAGAGACCTTATATACATTACCAAGAAATTACCATCTTTTTGCTATATGTACAAACTATGGAAAAGGAAACAAAAATCAAGACAATGGCTGGATGGGTGGGAAATAAGGACTGAGTAGGCTGAAGAAATACTTAAGAATGGAATATGCCACCCAAACACTAAGAAACTGTTAATATTTGACTTTTAAAGTGTATAGACCAAGAATTGAATTAATTTTAAAGATGACATTTAGTAATGAATTTTAATAGCATACTTTCCTCCTCCACTTAATCTCCTTCAGAGCTGCAAATCCTAGAGTTCATCATCTTAACCAGACTCAGACTCTCAAATGTCTAACTCAGAAACTTTTTGCTCTTTTGAAAAGCATTCTGGAAATACAGTTTATTCATTCAATTCATTCAAGCCATTAATAAAATAAGTACTGACTAAGCTCCAACAATGTGAAAAGAGCCTGTGCTAGGTGCTGTTTAAGACATAGTTCCTGACTGCCAGAAAACTCAATTTAAATTTATAGCACAGATGTGAATGCCTCTAATTGAGCTCTCATGGGCTACAGGTACTGTTCTCAGGAAAAGCTCTCCCTCTATGCAGTCATTCTATTTTCCATGACTAATTGTACCCCAAAGACCTGTCCATTTGTTTTTATTGCCAGCACTTAAATAAGCAGGCCAGGCTAGGTTCTCCAACACCAAGTATTCTCTAGTTATTTCATACACATGTGTCTATTTCTCTAAAGGGAATGAGATCCTCATGGACAAAAAAGCATGGTTTCTTTTCTTCTGTATTTCTTATAGCACCCCAGGGTACTGGGTATGGCTGAGTATATACACAGCAGACAAAAAGAATGAACTACTTCTTAATTTTAGATAAATTAAAAAAAAATAAATTTTCATTGTGGATTAGAAAGCACTGAATATTTTTCAAAGGAAAAAAAGCCTACTTGATTCTTCTGTACAGATTTCAAAATTCTAGTATAAAATTAACCAAAAATATCTGAAGTGAATATTGAAGCTGTTATAAAGGGAACAACCTGACTCCTTAAATTACTTACTTTCCAACAGAAACTTATTATTTATCCCTGTGTAGTAATCTAACTCACACATTCCTGTTAAGCCTTCTAGAACTGAATGAATACATCATTTAAGTATCCCCTGGTGTTTTAAAGGTTTTTCCATTTAATATATATATTGTTGCCCATTTTACTGATAGGTGTGATATTGAAGGCAGTATTTCATGTGTATAATTAGACATCGAAGATGAAGGTAGTATGAACCTGAAAAGTTACTTTTTAAAAATACACCCTAAAATGAACAAAGTAAGTACTTAATGAACACTCATATCTGAAACCCTGAGAAATGCTGAAGTTTTGGTCTTCCTATATTAATTGTATCTCTGTCTTTTAATTCTGTATGTGATTCTCACAAAAGCTCTGAGTTCAAAAACTAAGTCTAAATATTTGTGAATCATCTGATTACAGTGATCATTCCACTGAACTGCAATAGTCAGAAATGAGGGAATTTAAAAGAACGCTTGGAATTTTTCTATAGAATTTAGAGCATTCAGTAAATGTACTAGCCATGAAAGATTCACATATTAATACTAAGACATAATAGCCTACTCAGTGTTTTTACCAGAATGCTTTAAATTTCTAGCTTTCTCCTCAGAATTCTGATATTTCAGTTCCAGTTCTTTTTTATCTTCTTCAAGAAGCTCCAGTTGCTGTTTGAGACTGTTTATCTCCTTGTGGAGAGTTTCGTTCTGTAGCTGCTCTTCTAGTTCTTTGACCTATAAATTATAAATAGACTTTTATACAGTGATAACAGTTTTTCCTTTGTCAAGGAAAACAAGGGGAAAAACAAATTTTTCTCTTTTACTTTGCATTTCAGAGCAAAGAGATTTCAATTCATCTTTAAAAAATCACACGAATCCTGGGATACAGATAATACTGGGCCTTCGGTGGTGGCTCGCTGGTAAAGAATCTGCCCGCAATGTAGGAGACTGCCCAATATAGGAGGCGCAGGTTCGATCCCTGGGTCAGGAAGATTCCCTGGAAAAGGAGATGGCAATCCACTCTAGAATTCTTGCCTGGGAAATTCCATAGATAGAGGAACCTGGGAGGCTACAGTCCATGGAGTCCCAAGAGTTAGACATAACTTAGCAAGTAAGTCACCACCACCACCACAGATAATACTTATACTATCAGTAACGTGATTCATATAAATTTATTAAAGACTTACATCCCAGAAAATTTAGTTCCCAGTATTCATATAAGTGAAAACTTCATTTAAAACAGATTAACACTTCTATGCCCATTTTCAAAAGAAAAACTCAGGTAATATTAAAAAGAGTCCTGGTGGGACAATTTGGTAACAAATAACAAAAACCATTAAAAAAAAAAAAAAAAAGGAAGGAAAAGTCCCTTTGATTCAGTAACATTACTTCTAGAATTTGTTTTAGAGAAGTAGACAGGTGTCCAAATACATTTATTAGAGCATTCTCTGCAACAAGGAAATTTTGGAAATAAGCTACATGTTCACCAATATTATTGATTTAATAAATTATAGTGTTCATTAAGTGAAATATCAATACTATGCAAAAATTTTAAATCACATACCTCACTATACACTGACATAGGAAGATATTAATATATTACCAATGGAAAAAAATCAGGTTATAGAACAATATGCTTGCAATGATCCCATTTAAACTATATTCATAAAACTATATATTTACATAAAGTTTGGATATGCACCAAAATATGGAAGTTTTAATTAATCTTAGTTTTCTGCTTTAGCTTTTTCTATATTTTTAAGATTTCCTTATTATAATAAAAACAACACAGCTGTGTTTTGAAGACTGCTGAATTTGCAAGGGAACTTATAGACAGGTAAGAAATATTTTCAACCACAAACCTGAAAGATTATCCAGAATAACAGCACAGTAAAATAGGTTTAGAAGTATTGATTGCTCTAATTTCATTTATAACTTATATATACTCTTCAGTACCCTACCCCAACAAGGTATACAACCAATAATTTAGTCCCATCCTCAATATAATTTACTAGGTTCTCGGCACACATTATTTAATGAGGTAACTACATGCAGAAGAGGGTTTCTCGGGTGGCTCAGCAGTAGAGTCCACTTGCAATGCAGGAGGCTTGGGTTCAGTCTCTGGGTCAGGAAGATCCTCTGGAGAAGGAAATGGCAACCCAAAGCCACTCCGGTATCCTTGCCTGGGAAATCCATGGACAGAGGAGCCTGGCGTGCTACAGTTCATGGGGTTACAAACAGTCAGACATGACTTAGCGACTAAAACAACAGTAGTAGATCTTTTTTTGAATCAGAAAATTCCAGTAGTAAGCTAAATAGAAATAAACATTCTTTCATTCTCTTTATTTGAAAAGGTAATTCCTGCATATGGGGACCAAAAAAAAAAAAAAGTCCCTTCCATCCTATCCCCCAGGGCACTTTCCCAGGGCCAAGCACTATTACCATGTATTCATTTAGAGCTTCCCTACATATATACCAACATTTCTTATTGAAGAAAAAAAAATTTAACTCTACCTTACAACTCAAAAATACAACTCTACCTACAACTCCCGGTAAAAACTCCGGGAACATCCAAGGACTAAGTGTCAACAGTGTTGCTTAAAGAGACTTCCACAGGTGCCAGCAAATGGCAGCTAACAGCCTTTCCCTCACCAACTAGGGACACTGTAAGTAGCATGAATACGATGCAGTTTGTCTTAAGTGGTTTCTTTAATTTGAAAGGCTTTGTTCCACCTGTTTGCCTCTCCTCCTCTCCGCCTCTCCTCCTCACCCACCACGATGACTATCCTTTCTGCTGAGCACACAGAGGCAGGCTGTGTCAGCTGGAGTAACTCTACTCAAACAAATTGAAATAACCACTTAGGAAGCCTTTAAACATATACATTTGTGCAAGTTTACAAAATCAGAAATTTTCTCTAAGCAAACAATTACTACTAACACAGACTTTTCCTCCCTCTTTGAATAAAACCTATGCCCTCCAACAAGTTCTTTGGGACCAATCACAAGACACTCTCCTAGTGTATGCACTCTCCAAAAACACAATTGACTCATGGATTTCCAAACTGCATTATCCAAGCCCTTTTTGAGTTGTCTCTCTCTGCCTCCCTTCTTCTGATCCTTTGGACGGTTTAAAAATCACTATAAACTCTACTAGTGGCTCAGTGGTAAAGAGTCCATCTGCCGACACACGAGATGTGGGTTCGATCCCTGGGTCAGAAGATCCCCTAGAGGAGGAAATGGCAACCCATTCCAGTATTCTTGCCTGGGAAATCCCATCCCATGGACAGAAGGAACCTGGTGGTCCACAGTCCACAAGTTCACAAAGGAGTCACACATGACTTAGCAACTAAACAACAACAACAGAGCCTACAACAGGGCACTGTAAATTTTAGATGGGTACTATAAGTTCATTTGGTAGTTTTTTTCCTAAAAGGTGAAAACACTGGAAAGACTCAGTAACTCAAACCAAATAAGGAACTATGAGCTTCTGGACCAACTCCTCTCAGTTTAAGGATGTATGTGCATTAAAAACCCAGAAGAAAAATCTGTTACCTTTTCTTGATGCTGAATTCTCTCTTTTTCAAGGAGCTGGACAAGTTTTGCATTTTCATCTAATGCGTTCAAAAGCTGCCGGTCAGGAGCAGAGCTCTGTAGTAGAAGGTGGCTTTGTCTCTTTAGCTTGTTCTGTTCGATAAACATCTACAAAAGTTAATTATAAAAAAAAAAACCAATCATGCTCACAAGCCTCAACAGCAACTTGACCAAAAAGAAAGATGGAGTTTTCATTAAAAAGGTAAACGCGATTTCTGAATGGGAGCATGATGATTTTAGAAGTAATGAGTACTATGATAAGTTTTCATTCATAACTTTTATATAACCTTTAGAACCTTTACCTTTGTCTCAGCACAGTATATATACAGTAGTTTAGTCCTATACTGCAGTTTTTAATATTTTATTATTGCCTTAAAATATATTAATACTAGCAGTAGCAGCTAATATATATCAAGAACTTATGCCAGATATTCTACTAAATATGTTCTACACATTATTTTAATCCTTTACATCAATCCCTGTGAAGTGAATGCATCTGCTATAAGAAGCTAAAACATATTCAAGACTATGGGATAGGTGTGGCAGCAATCATTTTACATGCAGTTTATCATCTAATCCTTAGAACACCACTGTCAAGTAGACACTATTATTATCCCACTTTTACTAATAAGATAACCGAGGCTCTGAGGAATTAAGCAGCTTTCCCAAAGACACCAGTGAGTGGCAAAACCCAGGATTTAAACCCAGATCTGTCTGATTTACAGGCCCATGCTCTTCACCATCTAGCTAATCTCTTTCTCTGTTATTTACTAGACCTAAGATTTTTGTCTTAAACCAATCAGCTTCTCCCCAGTGACAAAAGTAGTTAACAGCAGGAGGGTAAAGAGGAGAAGGAAGAAGGTATATTAATTAAACCAAGCATTTTATTACACAATTTACATATACTTTTAACCTAATCTTCACAACTTTTCATGGTTGAAAGCGACATTATTTCCTATTCACCTATTACTTCTTTTCCTTAATATGCCACATAAGTCAGCCAGTAGGCGAGTCTGAACACAAAATGCTTTACAAATTCTGAAATCAGGCCCACTTTATACTAGAGCAACATTTGCAAGTGAAATTTACATTCTTCTTCCATCTGATGGCTATGTAAGAACAGGAACAGAGGATGAGTAAGTATCCATGAGTGCACAAGTGCTGGGCTGGAGAAAAGTGAGACAGCGGGCATCCACGCACGAGGGAAGCATAAGCAACATTCCATCATAGTGTCTTAAAGTTGAGGCCAATGGTCTAAGTGAAATGATTTGTTTCAGGTTACTACTGAATAATAATATTATAGCAATTTATTTGTTATACATTTTCCCCTCTTAAAACTTAACTGGTTGGAGTCTTATGTTGGTACCTTAGAAAATATCTTCCAGTCAATGTGAAAGGCCAACAAATGCAACCAAAACAACTGAGATTCTCTGGCTCCCAGCAAGTGAGGCCTTTCACCAAGGGTGCTCCGAGTCCGGGAGCAGACAGAGAGGAAGCAGTCAGCGGGGCTGACCAGGGCAGAGGCGAAGGGCCCCGCGGTCAGACAGTGCAGGGCACGAGGACCCCCGAGGCCAGGGGTGGCTTATGGCTCTCCCTGCCCCCCTTCTCTGTACTCTGGTTCTCTCTGGGGAAAAGGTATAGCTCTCAGGAAAACTTGCTTAACATACATGATTATAAATTTTTTCAACTGTTATTTTAGAGAGAAAAGAATAGACTGTGTCTTAGGGATGTTAATAATATGAATTTCTTTTGCAAAGCCCTGTAACAATCCCTAAATTGCAATATAAGATGAAAAGAACATACAGAAAAGAAGTTCCTTTCAATAACAATGGCAACTTGAAAAATTTTAGTCTTTAGACCACCTTTTCTAGACTTTAAAGTACTAAAATAAAACACTACATAATGCCTTTTCTAAAGATGTATTTAAAGAAAATTCAGTTACCGAACACTAATGAATTTGGCTTTTAGCTATGGAAAGAACTTCTTGGTTAGTGTTATTAACCTTATCCTTGGTTAGAGTTATTAACCTTGGTCCCTTATCAGACAAATAATAACATTGGTATCAGAATTTCAGAGAAATTTTCCTACATCTCTTCAAAGAATGAGAAGATAATGTAGTATCATTAACATATAATTCATTCTTTCAAAAATAACATTAAAATATTATCATCTCAGTTGTCTGAAAGTAAAACTTATTATGTAACATTTCCTCAGTATATTAGGACTACATGTTGAAAAAGTATTCACATCTTTAAACAGAGGAAAGAAAAACCACACTAAACAGCAAAAAATATACATTCAAAAAGTACAGGAAAGGTTTCAAGAGTTGAAATTATGTTGAAGAAATACAAACACTTAATATAGTCATGAGGACAACTGGCTGTTTCCTCCTTGTAAGTGATCATGTTTTTGGTTTTTTAACTGGACAAATGTAGAAGTAAGGAAGAAACATTCAATTTTGAATTTACACATTTGAGAATCGTTTGCATGTTTGCAGGGTATATATCTTCCTTTTGCAGTTAAAAAAGGTGACCTACATTAAGTTTAAAAAATGATTTCTATGGCTCTGCACTACATACTCCAACAGGGCAGGAGTCGTATTTGCCTTCTTCACCATAATTTCCACTACCCACACAGTGTCTGGCTTGAAAGATATTTGCTGAATGCACTAAGAACAAAATGCAAAAGTGGTATTTCTCTAGTTAAGTCAAGTCAGATACCTTTTAACAGCAGTTGTCTGTTGAAAACCTGAGAATATATAAACCGTGTAAAAGGGAAGATATACCAGTTCTAATTCAGTTTTGTCTTTTCTTCTTACTATTGTGTAGATCAAGCCTTAGATACTATAAAATCATCAAGCACTGTTGCAAATACTTATGCTACCAGCAGTGTGGAGTAGGAAATGGCAACCCACTCCAGTATTCTTGCCCGGAAAATCCCATGGACAGAGGAGCCTGGCAGGCTATAGTCCATGGGGTCGCAAAGAGCCGGAAATGACTGAGCAACATAGCGCGCACGCACACACACCAGAAGGCTAAGTACCACTGCTCTCACTTTCCCTGCTCAAACATCTCTCTCCTCATTCTGGATTAACCTGTCAGCACTGTTTGGACCAATCGCTACGGGTTGCATGGCAGAATGAATCATTTATTTTTATATTCTTAAAGGAATCTTACTTCTTCTATCTATCCTCTCTGTTACTGCATGGCCTTCAAGTTTTTCTCTGAGCTGCTTTGTATTCTAACATCATCTGCAAACAAGAAATGGAAACTGAAAATGTCTCTCAAAATTAAGACCCTTGCATGCAGGTCAAAATCAGCCAACATTTTCAGTTTTGCAATGGAGGCATTTTCACGTTATCTCTACTCTCCCTCCCCTCAACCATTTCTTTAGCTCCATTATTTATACGCTGTAGATTTTTCCAAGGGCTCTAACACACTTCTTTTTCCTCTTTTCAAGAAATAAGAGAATAAATATTTACTCACCTTTCATTAAACTCTCTGAATAAACTGAATCATAATATTTCAAATTAGATATTCTCAGACTAAACTTTTATAGGGTTCATTGCTACCACAGTTACCTTCAAGTATGGAAAAACTCCTGCACAAAACCATCATCTGATCTTCAAATGTCATTCTCATAACCCTGCACTTTGTCTTTCTTCTAAACCTTCCACCTAAGAATGCTTACATTTCCTTAGCTACCTTCCTTGAACCCACAGTATGCACACAGATTCAAAATGTTTATACATGATGGAGAAGATCTCATGTAGATCATATCATAAGCTGTTAACACGTAACACATTATAAGCTGTTACAACTCAGCCAACTGATGCCTCATCATTTCGCTGGAAACCAGTCACAGAGCCGTGGAATACCCAACCAGCACATGTCAACAAAGTTAACCCAGAGCATGAGAAGCTCAAAGCTTATCTCTAACATGAGAGGAAAGGCTAGGATAATGGATATATAACATGTGTAACAATGTTCCACAGCAAGTGGCAGAATCAAGGCACATAATGAGAGCACTGAACAGTCACTGAAGACCATGATGTTCTTTCAGATGGTATCCTGGGATGTAACCTAGTTTCTTAAGGCTTTCGGAAATATAAGAAGTCCTCCACTCAAACTGGACTTTCCATGTGATGGAATGGGTATCCCTAAATACAATTTATTTTCCCAGTATAGCATTTTCTAGTTTATAAAATTCTTATGAAGACTCATGCCATTTGATTTTACAATACACTTAGTGTACTGTATCATCACACAATAAATAAAAATAAATATAATGGTATCATCACCCATTTTACAGATGGTGAAAATGAAGCCCAAAGAGGTTAAGAGCTGCTGGTAACAAACAACTACTACCCCGAATGGCATGGCAAAATGTAAACCCAGATCTCTGACACCAAGTTCAGTGAACTTGATATTATTCCACAGCTCCCTAGATCAGATGATCTTTATTCAGAGTGACAAGTGTTTGTTCAACCTCAAAAAATGTTTTCATATATCATCTGCAAAGCTCTTTAAAATATAAAGCTAAAAAATGAGGTCTCTGCAAGACATTTACCTCTTGTGCAAATGACTCTGCTTTCTTTCGAAGGTCCTTCTCCAGCTCCAAGTTCACCTGCATTTCCTCATATTCTTCTACTGCTAGCATGGACACTTAAGAAGACAAGGAAAAGAAAATGGACAATAGGCCACAGAGATTATCAGGCAAATGGATGAAAAAACAGCATCGAAAAGATTCCTTATTCAGGCATACAAACACCCACATTCATTGCTGGCTGGAATATAAATTAGATAACACCTTTTCAGAGAGCAACCTGGCAATGTGAATCAAAAATCTGAAACTATTCATACGTTTTGGCTCAACAATTCCACTTTTAGAAATGTATTTATTCTCCTAAAAGAATGAATCATGAACCTACAGAGATCTAATTGTAAAGGTGCTCTCTGCATCACTGCTGAAAATAATGAAACAATCTAGATGACCTAACATCAAGGGGTCAGTAAGTAAAGAAATATACAAGAAATATTCTGCCAACGGGATTATGTTGTACTGAGTGAGTTGCAGTGAGATGGCTGAACCTAGAACCTCTTATACAGAGTGAAGTCAGAGAAAAACAAATATTGTGCATTAATGCATAGATAATGGAATCCAGAAAAGCAGTACTGATGAACATATTTTCAGGGGAAGAATGGAGATGCAGATGACTGGACACAGCAGGGGAAGGAGACTGTCGGATGAACTGAGAAGGTAGCGTTGACTTATATACACTGCTGTGTGTAAAACAGATAACTATTGGGAAGTCTCTGGATAGCACAGGGAGGCTAGCCTGGTGCTCTGTGATGACCCAAAGGGGTGGGATGGGAGTGGAAAGGGAAGCTCAAGAGGGAAAGGCTATATATAATGATTGATTTGCACTGTTGTGCACTGTTGTATGGTAGAAACCAACATAACAACATAAAAAATTATATTGTAGAGGCATATTTCCTAAATGGGAAAGACCTTCATGATATATCTTTAAAATGAGCTCATTTCTGTTTCTTAAAAGCCACATATAAAACACATCAATAAAAGTTTCACAGAGGAGGAAATATGTAAAAAGCCAAAAAACATCTTTATCAGTAACCAAGGAGATGGAAAGTAAAACCATAACTATCTTTTATACTCACCAAAGAGGTGACTGCCAAAAATTTTAAAGTATAGCTATATCAAGTTTAGAGAATAACAGAATAATGAAAACACACACACTGTTAACAGGTATATAAACTGACAGATCTACTTTAAACGTAACCTGGCATCATGTAGTGAAATTGAAGATAAAATATTACATTTGGTGCGTACGTTAGTGAAACTCTTTGATATTTGCACCAGAAGACATGTGTAAGAATTCTCATAACAGGATGACTTGGAATAGCAAAAAAACTGGAAAACACTCAACCATCCACCAACTGGATACTGGATAAACAAATTTTGGTATAGACATCAAATGAAATATTATACAGCAGTGAAAAGAAACATACCACAGTAAAACCCTTTAATATGGATGAACCTCACAAATGCATAAAGTTGCAGAAGGACACAGGCAAAATGACAGCATATATATCAAGTTCATGCAAAATTAAATAATATGCTGTTCAGAGATATATATATAGCTGAAAAACTACAAATAAAAACTATGATAAAAATATGAAGAAATACAAGTAGAGATTGATGTTCAAGGGCTTGCCAAGTACCAATGGATAAAAAGACTATCTCTTTTGTTGGTATTTTATTTATACTCCATAAACATTATAGACATATTTAACAAACAATTTAAAGTGTATATATAGGCTTTTTGATTGAAATATAGTTGATGCACAAAATTATGTTACAGGTGTACAGTATACTGATTCACAATTTTTAAAGGTTATGCTCCATTTATAGTTATAAAATACTGGCTATATTCTCTGTATTGTACAACATATCCTTGTAACTTATCTTATACATAATAGTTTGTACCTCTTAGTCCCCTACCTGTAAATTGTCCCTCCCCTCCTTTCCTCTCCTGGAAGAATAAACACTAAAATGTTAACAGTGCTCAAACCTGGACTATAAAAGTTGAGATTTTTTTTTTTCCTTTTCCAGTATGCATTTATACTTCCCACCAAAAAAAGTATGTTACTTGAATAAAAAGAAAGAAAAATGTATATGTATGTGTGTGCGTGTGTGTGTGTATGTATTAGTTGTTTCAAAGTGTTATCCATATTTATAAAGAAAAAAAACAGCCTTAGATCTGTAGAGGCCCAGAGTCAGAGCTTTGAATTAAAGAATCCCTGTGGGCAGAAACCTTCAAAGGGAATATCCTGTCAAATAGGAGCAACATGAATTCTTTCCTACTTTTCGACATTTTGTTAAATAATGATATAGATGGGACAGAGGGAGTGATGGCGTCATCACCAACTAGGTACCACATGGGTGGACTGTACATTGCTCTCTCCATCAGATTCTGGTCAGGCACTCTCAACTCTGAGCTGAGTCATAGCAATAAAAGGCTTTAAAAAGGCACTCTTAATGGCTGCTTTCACAAGCTGTTCCTCCAGGGCACTTCAGTCTTAACTGACTAAGGACTGGTTTGCTGTGTAATGACATAGAATTTCAAACTTTGTACTCGGTCAACCTACCGCCTCCTCAGAGGAAAGACTAAAAGTCTTGCTCAAGTGAAGCAATGTAAGTGGTGGTTTGTGATGTGAATTATAGGTCCCTGAGAGCTAAATGATTCTCAAACCTATTTTTAAAAAGAAACTCTGCAAAGAAAACAAGATTATGACTATCTGAAGTCCTGGGCAAGATAACTGACTTTCTTTCCTATGACCAGAACATTATGATAAAAAGTGAATTTTCACATGTCCTGGTCCTCTTAGATTCTGAAAGAAATTGGGTTGGTCCTAGTCATGTATTTATTTACATAATCTCTCTCTCTTCCTAGATAGGGGGCTCTCTGAAGGCAAGGGCCATCATACTAACCTTTGTAGAACCCTGTGTCTAGTATAGTGTAGCTACAAGTTCATTTATTAAAAAAAAAAAAAGAATCTCAATTTGTGAATGACACAAAGATAGAGAACAACCACCACTACCAACAGGGAAGGTCCTGGGTCTGAAAGGTTTCCTTTTCAAGTTGTAGTTTCTGAACTAGGAAAGACAGTGGCTGAGGGGGAAAAGCAGAACAAAAAGCATAGTAAGAGGCCCCGCTCTCCTTTAGAATTACGTTTGCACTTTGGCATAACTCTTTTGCCCTAAACCAGGAGATATACGAAATGGCACCATGAGATTAGATGCTATGCTTTATGACTAGAAGGATAAAATTCAATCACACAGTATTTTCTCTAGAACAAAGTTCCTTCTCACCATGAGACCAGGTCTGCTTCTCCTGATGAAGAGGTAAATTTTTATGTGATTCACAGAAAAGATCATGAATCTCTCACAGCTCTGGCTCCCAGAGAGCTCACAGCCAGACTTCAGGCACACAGGCAGGAAAGTGCAAGGACTTGGAGCAAGGAAGCACTCTGTATCTGAACACATATTCTCACTTTCCCTTTGTCCCATTTTCCATACCCTCTCTTTCTTTTTAAACTTTTTATTGCAAGACGTTTGTTTTACAATACTGTGCTGGTTTTTTGCCATACATCAACATGAATCAGCCATTCGTATGTCCCCTCCCTCCTGAGACTCCCTCCCAACTCCCACCCCAATCCCACTACTCTAGGTGGTCAGAGAACATGGGGTTGAGCTCCCTATGTCACACTGCAAATCCCCACTGACTATATTTTATATATGGGAATGTATATGTTTCCATGCTACTCTCTCATACGGCGTTAGTGGTAAAGAACCTGCCTGTTAACGCAGGAGACATAAGAAATGCAGGTTCGATCTCTGGATTGGGAAGATCCCCTGGAGAAAGAAATGGCAACCCACTCCAGTACTCTTGCCTGGAGACTCCCATGGACAGAGGAGCCTGGCGGGCTATGGCCCATAGGGTCACAAAGAGTTGGACATGAAAAAGCGACTTAGCACACTCCCTTCCACGCTGTGCCCACAAGTCTGTTGTCTGTGTCTGCATCTCCACTGCGAATGGATACAGAAATTTTGGTACATATATACAATGGAAAGCTACTCAGCTCGAAAAAAAAGAACACATTTGAGTCAGTCCTAATGAGGTGGATGAAACCAGAGCCTATTGTACAGGGTGAAGTAAGTCATAAAGAGAAAGACAAATATTGTATGTTAACATATGTGTATGGAATCTAGATAGTACTGATGAAACTATTTCCTTTTCCTCTTAATTTAAAATTTTATCATCTAATGTTGCATGTATTTATGTAGATATCCCAATCTCTGCTAGACTGAGGAGAGGTTTACTGAATAACTCTACCAGATACATAAATACCAATATGGCCATGGTCCCAGGATACATGTAGGACAAAAAAGGATTTAGNTGGTTCCTAATAATAAAAAAAAAAAAAAAAGAGGATTTAGGCCTGAAGTTTCAAAATGAGTGGGTTGTGAATTCCTTAAGCAGAAGCACTTTTAAATTTCTTCAGGCTCTAACTTAGGTGATAAAAGAACAGGAAATGAGACTCATTGCTAGACATTAAGAAGACACAAAATAGAAAACTTTTGCTACAACACTCTTTAGACACAGGTCTAAAACAATACAAAATATATATAAACAAAGTAAGTTATAGATTTGAAAGAAAAGACTAGAAACACATACCTCTATTGCATTTTTCTAAGACTTTTCTCTGTTCAAGAACTTCCGAATTTAAAACATCTTTTTCTTGTTTAACTTTATTTACCTAAATGTGATATTGTGAGAGGAGAAAACATCCGAAATTGTAAAACATGACATGATGATGGGTGACTTATACTGCTGTTTAATTTCCAACACGATGCTACATTAAAGCAATAATTGCCTTCACTGTGTTAGGCTTTTATTAAAGCATTTTTATAGCCTCAAAGTAGCTATTTAATTTAGGATATATATCTGGAACTTCTTTGCATATTCCAAGTAGCATTAGCATTGCTCCTTAAATATGGCAATGTTCTAGTCATCCAATGTAAATGACTGACATTTTAAAAGGAAAAATCCAACTAGACTGCACCCAAAAAACACCTGAATCATTTAATCAGAGATACAATATTAAATTTTGGCATTCATTTTACACTTTGATGACATTTGGCCTATGTAAAACATACATAGATTTTTTTAAAAATAAAAAATACTTTGACCTTTGACTTAAATAAAATACATATGAAAACCTCCCCTCAAAAAGACTTCAGTTTCTGAAATAATTTTTGGCATCACAGGAAAAGAGAATATCATAGAAGAGTTCTAAAAAAAAGAATGTAAAGTTACATACAGCAAGTGGATAGATCTCAAAAGCATTATGATGAATTTAAGAAGCAGGTTTATATAGTTAAAAACATTCAAAATACTAGTCACTGTAGCAGATATGTAAATATAATCTCTGAAATCTTAAAAACCAAGTTCAGGATAATGGTGGTTTAGAAAAACAGGGCAGGGAATCAGGAAAATGAACTCAGGGAGAGAGACACACGGGTTTCAATAATATGTTAAAGTTTTATGTACTGAACTGCGCAGTCAGCATATGGAGGTTCATTACTTTGTTTTTTATACTTTTCAGATGTCTGAAATAATCTTAAAAATACTAACTTCTGAAATGGCTTCCAATAATACCTCTAAGTGGGAAGGAAGAGAATCATCAATAAATAATTAAAACTGAGAAATGGAATGCATCAAAATGTCTTTCTCTCCTACGATAACACTCAAGAAACAGGCTAAGATGATGGTCCTGAAAGGGCCCCTGAATCCATCAGCACTTCCAGAAAGTCTGTGAATGGTCTTTTTTAGTACAAGTACAATACTTTAGTACTATTGCTTTCTGTTTAAATTAGTAACTGGTATACCCTGCTCAGTACTTCCAAAACATCATTCTCCTTCTTCCCACTCACACTTACTGCTACAGTAAATAAACAGTAACTGAGGCTGGGAGGTAGATGGGCACTGCTTCCCAACCTTTTCCACATTCTGGTCCTTAAGAATATGTGTATGGGAACTGGATGAGGCTGCTCACTGAAGGGACAAATACACTGGGACACTTGATATCATTGGCAAGATATCAAGGTGCTATAACACATCAGCTGGGAAACCTTGGGCTACAGACTCTGAGAACCATTGACACAAGTTAAATCGAGTCTGCAAAGGCAGATTCTTGAAGCCACGTGCAAAGAAGGCTAAGTACGTGCTCTTGCTTTTACAGACAATTCAGAGGAAAAAACAAAAAGATTCTCCAAACACCCACTTGAACCCATTCTACTATCTACCATATATGCCTGTGTTGGGAGGTACAAAGGAGGAGAGCCTTTCTCTACTGAGTTAGCCCTCGACTTGAGAAGTAAAATCATTCTTTACCAGCAGCAACAGTGAGTGATTTCAGATGCAGGTATCACTGTCACGAATCTACAGTGAAACATGCGGGATAACAGGAAACACTTCAAGGTATTTTAGTACATTATTTCCTGTGCTACAGAGGTGGGGGCATGAATGTTCATGATCTTACTTTCTGTACCTTTTTGTAGGTCTGGAAGAGTAGGAACAAGAGAAGATTAAAATTGCTACATGGTTCTCATGTCAGAAACTAGCTTCCAACAGCAAGTTTTTGATGCAGCCTGTCCCCAAACATCTTAAAAACACTAAAGGTCCTGCCTTTCGGGCCTAAGATACATACTTCTTCTGTTACTTCTACAAGTCTGCTCTTGAGATTTTCCAGTTCGATGGCTAATATCTTCTTTTCCTCCTGAACAGATACAATTTGATCTCGAAGTTCTGCATTTTTAAAGAAAAAATAAAGCCTTGTTTTTAAAAGAAGGAATCAATCTTGTCAGAAGAATTGAAAATACCAGTCCATGAGCAGTTTACTGTCAAAGGTTTTCAACAATTAGATGGAAAATGAAGCAGCAAAAGACAATGGAAATTTCACTTGTTCCCCTCCCCTAATATAGCTATGTTTCTTAAATTTTCTATCAGGCATTCTCACTATGTTAAATGTACTAGATTATGTTTTCTCTGCATTGTATCAAACCTATATTCTAGAAACTGTCTGGCATTTTAGCAGTAGAATTTTTTAAGCTTTTAGCAAAACAAATTAAGGCATTGTACTAATTTCTTTTTTATTTTATAATGGCCATGGGCTCTTGTCACAATGCAATACAAACAAACGGGGCAGCTAACAATTTGGAGATTTTGATTTAAAGAAAAAAATCCTGATGTGCTGCCAATTTATAGCCCTTAAACATTATTTGAACTGACTCAAAATATAACCTATTTGAAAAAGGGTTAATTCTAATAATTTTCTCTCCAGAGTTGTGGGTGTTTTGTTTCTTAATTTATTTCATATTTCATATTATTGAGATTAACTGAAAACTGTGTTACTAGAATGAAAATATTAGGCGCTATAAGTGCAAAAGCTTCTGGTATTATATTAAAGTTACTTCTACCACTCAGATGTTAAGAAAAAGAAAAAATACATGGACTAGCACAGTACTTAAATTTATACCCAGGCCCACATAGTTTTGCAGCTTAGCTTTTAAGTGCTTTTAATTTCTTACCCTTCTCCAAGGATAATAAGAAACGCTCTATGTGGTTATTTACTAATAAATTAAATCAAACTTTTTACATGAACCCAGGTTAATGAAGGGGCTCTCAAAAGACTTATTTCAAAACCACTTTCTCCACTGCCGGACTAATCTTGAAAAAGAATCAGAGACCGTACCATCCAAGATCTAATAGAAGGGAGAAAGAGAAACAAAAGGAAAGCCTTTAAACCTCCTCTCCCTTCCTGCCAACATAAAGACAATTTCTTCTCAGGTGAGAGGGTAAGAGGGGCTTCCCAGGTGGCTCAGTGGTTAAGGAATCTCCCTGCCAAGGCAGGAGATGCAGGAGACGCAGGTTTGATTACAGGGTCGGGAAGATCCCCTGGAGGAGGAAATGGCAACCCACTCCAGTATTCTTCCCTGGGAAAGCCCGTGGACAGAGGAGCCTGGCGGGCTGTGGTCAGCCCACGGCATCACAAAGAGTTGAATACGGCTTGGCAGCTGAGCACACACAGGGTTAAAATGGCTTTCTTTTTACTTTCTTCTTTATATTTCCAACTGAAGTTTCATCTACCAAACCAACAAATATTATTCTTGACAGGTACGGTAAGTTAAAATGCTCCAATAATTACCAAGCCCCAGACTGTTTTCCTACATCCTAAGCTATATGTGTAGTTAAAAAGCTTATATTAAAAAACTTAACGTGTACTTCACAGATGTACTGTGTGGTTTCACCTTATAGAACTATTTGGGGACCAACACAGTTGCTTAATACTACATATTGCTTCTAGCTCATTGCTTGAATCTTAGGAGAAGTTCTTGGAGGGCAGAGACAAAGCAATTTTGGGAGTTATCTTCCCCAAAGATTTCAACAGAGAAATCAGACTAATAGAAGGTGTTGGCTAAATAAATTTTTATTCATTCTTTCTTTCATTTAACAAAAATATCTTAATACACAGTCCTATCCTGAAGACATGTGTAGGTTAACTGACTGTTCCCTGTCAAGATGGCGCTTTCAAAAGTACTGCAATTTTGGGAGTTATCTTCCCCAAAGATTTCAACAGAGAAATCAGACTAATAGAAGGTGTTGGCTAAATAAATTTTTATTCATTCTTTCTTTCATTTAACAAAAATATCTTAATACACAGTCTTATCCTGAAGACATGTGTAGGTTAACTGACTGTTCCCTGTCAAGATGGCGCTTTCAAAAGTACCTAATCCCAAACAAGAAAGTAACTCATAAAGCTACAGTCATCATGATTCTCAACTAGACTACCCTCTGGGACAAATAATCAGAATTTTTTTCCAAAGAAGGACCCAGGCATCAGTATTTATTGAAATCCTTATGCAATTTCAATGTGCAACCAGGGTTGAGAAGCATTATCCTAATAGGAGTCAAAACCACGTTCAATAATTAAGCCAGGAATCCTTACCTTTGATCTGCTTCTGACACTGTACTGAGACACAAGTCTTGGCAACATCCTCTGGGTCCATCGCTGAATCTTCATCGTCAATGTTAATCTCCTCAGTTATTACATCTGGCCCCAGCTTGGCCATGTATAACATGCTGATTCTTTTCAATGCTTTATTTTCTTTATTTAACTAAGGCAAATATAAAGACAGTTATTTTAAGAGCAAATGAGTGTCTTGGATTTTTATACAATAGTCAAATTAAGCATCTCTTTGTCTACACATTCATCAACATTCACAGCATGAAACAGAAGAGTCACTAAATATTATCTTATTTATACTTTTTAACATTAAACTAATTAAGAAAGACCTATGCCTTACAGAATGTGAAAATGCTAGTTATGACTGATAAATACAAGAAGAATTAAGATAAAACATGAGAATAGATTATATCGAATTTCAATTTATCCAGTCATTAATAGTCCTAATTTAAGACACTTTATTTGGTTTGATGCTGTGCTGTGAACACCTTTTATATGTTTGTTTGTCCCGCACTCCCTCTTTTCTGGACACTGCCACTGCCTCTTCATGTTCCACATAATTTCTGGAACAGCCAAGTTCTCCCAAAGCAACTCCTGTTCTCCTGGACGGGAACTCCTGTCCCTGTGTCTGGATGTACGGTAGCTACTGGCAACCACGCCACACTACTCAACTGAGGAATAGAGAAAGGCAGTCTGCAGCAAAGCCAAAACGGAGCCAATGTGCAGAGAGACAGAGAAAGGCAACAGACACTGGGTTTCCCACAGGGTTCCAGTCCATTCCTAAAATGCTACCAGCTCATGGATTCTGTGGGATTCTCCAACATCCCTCTGAACAAACTCCTACTTTTTTTTCCCTTTTCTTGCTTAAACTAATTCTTAATGTGCTTCTGTCTATCCCTAGAATTCTAATAATACACAATAGGAGAAAGTTCAAGATATGTTTCTATTATCTCTATGTCATTGCAGATAAAGTAAACCTAATTCATTGATGTATTTAGTACGCCCTTTATGTAAAAAATGAGTTGGTTACTAATTATCATTACCTTCTTCAGCTCCTGTATTTACGTGCATATAAATGTTAGTACAAAGCACACGCAAAGACTAAACTTGATCCAAAGTCCACTAAAGTAAAGTATGATTTTACTTTATTCCCAAGACTATAATATGAAAGATCTTCTCTTAGCAAGTGTTTAGTAGATTGCTTTCTCTAGTATAAAATGTAAGATACAGAAATGTGCTTGCATTTAGTAAGGGCTGTTGGCCATCAAAACAAGTTCTGAATTTAATAACTGACATTGAATATAAATATAAATACGAATAGAAAAAATTCACTGGAAAGCTAAAGGCCCTTCTCTATGTAAACCTTACACCAGAATAAGATGTTTAGTATGGCACTTGTCTGGCTTTGGTCCTTCATTTGTCATCATGATTAGGACCCCTCAGGATTTCTCTCAGGGAAAGCCCAGCCCATATCACTTGGGGAGATCTGATTCTTATCCAAGTAATATGGAGGCTAAATATATCCAAGTAGCAGGGTCTGGAACACAACAGGGTTCCCTGACCTCTCTGGGGAATCAGGAAGGATCACTCAGGAATGGCTATGAACCCTTCCCTGGATTCTTCCTGGGGAGGCTGGCGAGATCCATTCAAGGAATCAGGCACAGACTTTTACTCCCAGTCCCGACACAGTGCCAGCTTCTAGCTCTCCATGTTGCAGGAGAGGATCAGAGATACGATAGAAGTCTCACGATTTCCCAATCCCTCTTCCTTCAGATGGACAATTCCAGTAAGCACTGGCCTGGCTTCTCTGAGCCATGAATGCTAGGGCACAGCACTAGAGGCTCAAGGATCACTGTCAGTTCTCAAACGGTGACATCTTTTCAGAATGCAGGGAAAAAGAACAATTAAAGAGTGGAAAAACTCAAGAGCTAATTTGTAATTCTGCCTCCTAATAAACAAATGGTTCCCAACCCAGCACATTACAATCTGTAGAGTTAAAAAAAAAAAAAAATTCCAATCTGCAGGCCCTCCTCACCAGGCCAAAATCTCTGGCAATAGAGTCCAGCGTAGCACTTCTTCAGGGCTTCCCAGATGATTCAAATGAACTTCAATACTGAGAATAATGGACATGGAGGAATGCAGTACTTGGGTATATACTTCTACACAATTAGCAGCAGCAGTGTACAGCAGAGCTGAGAACACAGCTCTGCGATCAAATTCTGTCTCTACCTCTAGAATAACCCTTCAGTGTTAGTTTTTCTCAAAATAGTCTCCATCCCACAGTATGCAGATTAAGTGACATATTCTATATAAAGCATTTAACATAGTAAGTGACTTACAATAAAAATTCAGCAAATATTGCTAATAGTAATAAAAGAGATTTACTCTGTGTCTAATTTTCCTCCAGAAATCATTTATAAGCCAGTATTCTTCAACCAAGGCATTTATCTATACAACGTTCCTTTCCCCAGGATTCATGAAAAACTGAAAATACTCATTTTTGCCATCTGATGCTTAACATATTACTTCCCAGGCCATCATCAAAGTAACATTTGATAACCTAACAGTTAACAGTTCTGCCCTAAAAGAGTTTAATGCTCCTATCAAACCAGGCACCAATATCTACCAGCTATTTGGCTGTAATACAATTACTCTATTCAACAAAGTTACTTTCTCAAGAAAAAAGCCAAACATAATTTCAAAAGTCTTCTCTGGAAACATCATTTTCATATTCTGAAAAAAGAAAATACAAGATTTATACACATAAAATCTTATGACCATAGGAAGTAGAAATTTTTGAGAACTCTGAATTCACAAATTGAAGCTAAGCAATGTCACTGCAGTTATTAGCCATCAGGTTATACAGGTTAATGCAAGCTACTTCCGTTTCAGAACTCTTCTAAGTTAGAAGGCAAAAATAAACCTTTCATAACACTGCAGGAACAGAATCTTACGCTATATTCAAATTTAAACAGGGTTTTTATATAGAGCACAGTTTAATGGATATTTAAAATACAAAATAAGCATGTTAAATAGACTTGGATCATACAATTTAAATAACTGGTCTATATCTTATTGGTTTAACTTTCACATTTCAGCAAAGCAAAGTATCCACACTTGCTTCTAAGGAAACAATGTACATTGCATCATAAGAATTAAACATTCCATTTGTCCTTAATTTGAGAGCAAAGACTTAGAAAAATAAGAACTTACAGAAACTTTGCTGTTTAGAAAATGAAAACTATTCCCAAAAAGGACAATTAATACTTAAATCAGGATGTGTTACTTTCATTTATTGATCACACATATAATGAGGCTTCCAAACTTTGTATTCAAAGCTGTAGCTTCTTTCACATCTAACGAGCATATTGATAGCATTTAATCGAAGACATTTTTTTGGTTTTTTATTCTAATGTCCACATACACTGTATTCTAAAGTACACTGTAGCCTCAAAAACAAACCATTTGTCCATTTTCAAAAGGGCTTCTTAAAGAAGAGAAGACAAACTCTACGTTAAGGGTCCTATTATCAACACTAAACTGTAAAAATGACCCCAGAGATTAGTAACACACTGTCATAACCAGGGATGACTATACAGTCACCTGGCAACTTTTTCAACATTCACATGCCTGGGCCATACTACTAGAGCAGTGGGTCTGGGTATTCTTAAGAAATCAATCCTGGTCTACCTTGAAAATTATGACATGATAATTGCAGGTTAGATGTGTGCTACAAGATTTAGAACAGCTAGTATGCTCCAAATACATTTTTCCTACCTGGAAAATGAAATGAAGAAAAGGAAATGAAAAGAAATTCAAACAGTATTATGAACCTGTGAACACTAGTGATATACAGAATAGAGGCTCCATGTTATCATTCCTTCCAAAGCAATGGCCTCTATTGCTATAGATTCTTTGGACAAATAATGGAAGAGAAGCTATATACACACATTAATATACTTATTTAGGTTCTGCCTGCATATCTTATGAATTCTAATGTAGTGTCATTATGCAAATAATTAAGCAAGTACCTCTAGCAAGCACAATGCTAATGCACATAGATTAAATTGACTGATTGACTGTCTGATGTATAGAATTTCAGGTGCATCCAAAGAAACACTATGGAGGTAGGTGATAGTGGAGAGGGGAAAGAAACAAAACCAGCATCACTAATGAAATTTGGCAGAAAATTGCTGTAATCCATTTTCTGATGAAGTGGTTCAGATGCATTTTGCCCAACCCAAAATATGTAAGACAGAGATAAAAATATTCCTTAATAATAATGTACTTCTGATGAGATAGAATATAGAAAATTACACACTTGGTAAATTCATCAGCTAGAAGCAATCAGCAGCGTACTGGAGGTCACCTTTAGCATGCCCTCACTCTGCTTTCAAAAATAATCACCTGAAATGTACAGTCTGAGGCTGACTTTTTCATCTGATTCAAACAGGAAACACTCATTGCTCTTTTATGTCACTTTCGGTTAGTTTTAAACTTGGTTAGCATTTTAACCAAATGCACAGACATCTGGAAAGTCGAGTTCAACAGACTACTCTGGGACCATTTTCACAGGCAAACACAGACACACACACACACACAGATACTGAGATACACATATACAAACACTTCTTTTTTTATAACCAAAATAATCTTGGCATTAAGACAGATATTTACATAATCACATTTCAGGATTCTGAGACCTCTGATGAGGATCAGAATCAACTGATTAGGGAACTAGAAAAGCAGAAGAAAATAGATGTCACTATGCAGAAAAGCCAAGTTGAATTTTAAAAGCTCAGGTAGAATTCCTTTATATGAAATGTCTCACCTTTGTTGCCAAAGCTTCAGCACTTTCTCGACAAGTCTTCTCTATTTCAAGATGGTTCTGCATAAAATTCACTTCCTCTATAACCATGTGAGAAACTAGGAATGAGGGGGGAAAAGTCTTAGCATTCAGAGATTAGTCAGCTATTCCAGAAGCCCACACATCTTGTCCCATGATTAAGAATACTGTAATTCTTTAGCTGGCAAGACCTTTAGCTATCATGGAAAAAAAAAGTGTTGAAGATGCTGCTCTGATTAAATCTTAGCTAAAATTTGAATGTAGAAAGAAAAAAAGACAACAAAGAACTTTTATGGCTATTACACATATTTTAGGAAAGCTATTGAGAATTTTTTGAGTCTCTTTTCTATGTAGCAGTCTATATAACTATAGACATGTCTGCTAATTTAAACAAAAGAACCTCTCATAAATTAAAAGTGGCAAATATAATTTCCTTTTCTTAGCAGAATATAACTTATGCATCTCCTCAGGAAAACTAGCTAAAGAGAAATGTTTAAAAATAAATCTTACATATTGATCTCATAAGTAGAATAACAACGTGGCAGCTTAACTAAGTTGATTATTTCAATAGTAGTCTTTATTACTGACAAAGTATTTCATAAACTCCAGGGTAGAAAACTATAGCAACAAGATTTTTGCACTGAGTGATAATAAAAGTTGATGGTAACAAATTGCTTCTCACATCACAGATTGTCAGGAAGATTAAAAAAAAAAAAAAACTTGACGTTTAACCAATGTTCCAAAAACAGCAATTCTCAGACTTTTTGGTAGCTGGTTTATATAAGTGAGATTCAAAAGTACAAAATTATTGAGAACTTGAGTTATACTTTGAAGATGAAGTAAGAAAAATGCCAAATCCTTTTACCCATACTTCTAGTTGAAAAGAAAGTGCTCAGAACCTCAAACTTAACTGTAGACATGTATGTTTATTGATATTTGTTTGGCTTAAAAAAAAGAAGCAAAATTCAGGGCACCGAAATGTGAAACCCAACAAAGTTAGGCAAAAAGCACTGGGCTCACATAACACAAAGAGAGATTACTTTTGCTTCATTTAAGCTTAATTAACCTGCAATTATGATTAAACTCAGGGGAAAAAATTTCTCTCCAAATTAAATACAAAAATGTATTACTTCCTAAGTCCATCCAAAGTTCTTATTATGTTAATATTCAAATTCATAAAGCAGCACTAAATGGCCAGAAACATCTCTAACCTTGACATTTTTTCAGGGGTAATAATGATCCGCAGCAAATGCAGGCCAACCAAAAACCACTTAACTAATTAGTAGTTGCAGTCACCGAGAAAAACATGAATCAACACTGTTATTACAAGTGGCACATTTGAGTGGCATCTAATTATGACTTGATGAGCACGATCCTTGCATTATCAACATTACTACCGCATCCCATCAGGGCCTAAAAGCTGCTGATGGCACTGACTTGAGAAACTCCCACTCAATGGTACAGCAGCACCCAACAATCGGCTTGGCAGGGGCCCCCCTCGCTAAATGACACGTTAAGCGTAATTACTGGTAGACATTGTAAATAAACAGGATTGGAAGTGAAAATTGTACCAAGTGCATAAGACACAATCTGACACATTGGAAGTGGCAGCCTTAATTGAGAGTTTCTTTGACTGCTCAAGATCATTTCAACTGCATTTCTCAGAGGACAGCGATTATAACTGTGGAGACAGACGGCATAATGGTATCAGCACTGCTGACAGAGCAGTGAATTAAATTGTATCTGCTGCTGTGTGAAAGCCTTGATGAGAGGTACAGATGCCGTAGTGGTCTTATCATTATAACACAATGGTCATGTTGTCATCAACCTTTCTGGCTCCAATTGAAAAGAAATGATTGTGTGTTGGAGCTCTCCCCCACCCCCCCACAGCACCCCCCCTTCTCCTCTTCTATCTCTTGTTCTGAATAGAACCAATTTTCAGAGAGCTATGAAATCACGCAATAGGTCCTAAAATGCAGCTGCTTGGCATACAAACGGGTCCCCATTAAACTGGAATCACACACAATATGTGTTTATGCCAGAAGAACAAATAGAAGCTGAACACAGGCCAAGTTTATTCACACACACAAAGACCATGTAGCTCTTCATCAATATAATTGCCTTTTATATTGTAGTTTAAATAATAGGCTCTATTATTTCCTTAAAGTCCTAATATTCCTGGCATTTTATCACTATGTTTACAAGGTAGGTTCTTCAAAACTGTGAAGGAAAGAGAAAAGAAACCCACACAATTTTTACAACATCAAATATTACTTCAAATTTTTAGCCTTAACTACTTGACACCTTCTACCACAATCTGGTACTTCTAACTATCATAACAAAAACATAAACACTCTGCATTTTTCATAAGAATTTGACTTTTTATTCAATAATATTCTTGCTCATGAAAGAGTAGGAAAAATCATTCCACACTAGAAAGGTTTAGCCCCAGTAAAGAGAAAGAGGAAAAAAAAAACAACAACCACAACACTTATTTTCTAAACATTTTGTAAAAAGTTGCCCTGTAATTTAACTTGATAAACTTAGCTGGGCAACACTAGTCCACATTTTCTCCAGCTCTGATACAGTATACTCCATCAGGTAAGTTTTTATTTCTTCTTATAAGCAAGAACAGTGGAAAATTGAAACTGTGCTTTAATTTTCAGTTTAAAAAATTATCCCAATGCTAAGCTGACACCAGTGAAACCTACTTACAAACTTTCTAGATCCAAAAGAAAAGAGCATATTTCAAAGGGCATCTATATCTTTACAAAGGATGATCCAATTTCCAAAACCAAAAGTCAAGTCACCTGACATAAAACAATTTTTTTTTTTTGGTGGCACTGTGTGGCATGTGGAATCCTAGTTCCTCAACCAGGGATCAAACCAGTGCCCCCTGCAGTGGAAGTAAGGAGTCTTAACCAATGGACTACCAGAGAAGTCCCAGCAATTTTTTTTTAATATATAAGTTTATTTATTTTCAAATGATGAAGATTTTTTAAAACTTTAATTGTTCATTTAATGATTTGCCTACAGCCCTAAATTCAGACTTTCCTCATAATATCCACAATCTATGACCAGTGCTATACCTAAAACACCTATAATTTGGATGGCAAAAAGGTTTAAAAAAGAAAAAAGATGAACTTTAAATAAAGTGACTCTACTGCAGTTATGTTTTTAAAAAATCCTAGTATTTTAGAAATACAAACTGAAATATTTACAGATCAAATGATATGATGACTGGAATTAGTTTCAAAATAATCTGAGGTCAGTGAGAACAGGTGTATGGATGTAAGAAGGAAGACTGGACACAAACTGACAACTTTTGAAACTGTGTGATAGGTACATGGCAGGGGTCAGTTCATTATATATTTTTTACTTTTGTACAAGCTTGACATTTTCCATAATAAACATTTTTCTTAATGACTCTGAGAATTCAGAAGTATAACCTAAAAGAGTCTCAACTGCGGCTTCTATCAGTCTAGTCGAATCAGCGAAGTCTGACTCTCGTGTTCTATGACCCCAAAACATTCTCATATACTTGCCATCATAGAATGTATCACACTGTAGGGGCACTGGGGTTCTTTTAATTTGCTTTGTCTTCTACTGAGTGAGCATCAGGGCAGAAAAATTCTTCATTCATGGCTGACTCTCTTGCACCCAGCACAATGCTATGTACAAAGTAGGTATTCATGTCTGTGTGTGTCTGATGACTGAAAAACTGTCTCAGGCCTAAGTTCACACATGAACACCCCTTTCATAGGGATGTTCCCTGTAGCACAAATGGCTTAGGAAACAACCACTATCACCGTTTATTGGGCCAACAACGTGTCTATTGTGTGCTGAGCCCTGCACATGTGTCCGCTCAAAGATCCTCAGGACAATCCTACAAGGTAGGTATTACCATAGCAGCTTGGTATTGGAGAACACCGAGGCCTGGAGAAGTTAAGGAACATATCCCAGATTACAGGGTTCTAACTGGTAAAGGCCAGCCAAAGCGATGTCTAGAGGACTCCAATCTTCTATGTTCTTTTCTAATTGCTCATATTTAAAAGTGCCACCCCACCCAGGGTGCTGCTTCCTTAGCAAAAATTCCTCTCCATTCAGCCCATTCTTAGCAATCTTTAGATGCAGGGTATCTCTAATGTATACGTGGCAAACATACCATAAATTCTCCTGCAATATCAGATTACTTAGGTTTTCATGTAGTGAGAAAACAATCATGAAAGCTAGAGGTATGCAGGAAAATTGGTAGGCCCTAAAAGAGAGCAAAGGATCTAATGCAGAGTGGCCTAAAAGACATGAAGGAACTTCACTTTTACTTTCATCTGCTTTCCAGGGAACACGGCTTTGCTCAGCAGTAGTATACTTTGTCCAGAAAGACAAGAGATACTCAGGAAAAGCTGGCAGAGGGCCAGGAATCACAGGGAAATATGGAAAAGTATGCTAGGAAAAAAGTAAGCTAGGAAAAGTATGCCAGGCTAGGAAGAGTTGATCCCAACAGTCTAACAAAGCTTTTCCTCACCCTCTTTTGGCTGTTCTTCCTACACTAAGAGAACTAGAACTAGTAGGGAAACATTACAGGGAGGCAGATTTCAATTTTGTTACCAATGTGGAGACTGTGTCCCGAAACTAATTCATGGAGGGTAAATGATATGAACTCTTAGTACTGAAGGGCAGTCAAGCCCTGGATGGCACAGTAGATGAGATGATGGCAGTAGCAACAACTAGTATTTGTTGAGTGCAGTGCCAGGCACTGTGTTCAGCGCTTTTTACATGGGTTATCTCATTTGACCCTCAAACAGCCTACAAGGTACAGTCATTCATTTCACTTTTACTAGTGCAGAAATTAACTGCTCAGGGCATACAGGGATTCACAGCAAATGGTGCTTTTCACTGGTGAAAACTGCCTCACTGCCTTCCAAATCTAAATTGCTACCCTCTGTTCTAAAGTCATGAACCATTTATCTCAGGCACAGTTTTTTAACAGATAAAGTTTTCTTAGTTTTCATTTTCTGTTCTTTTGAAACCGAGTGAAGAGTCAACACTCTGTTTTCCTGCCATCCAAACTTAAACCAGGCTGATGCAGTAAGGGTAAAAATTGAATAAATACAATATAAAAAGGTGAGTTCTTTCAGGCTCTGAGTTGTTCATAAAGAGAAATGCAAATTTTCAAAACTATCAGAGATATTTAGAGGAAGAGAAAGGGAAAAGAGAAATAGTAGATGAAAGCAAAGTTTACATGTTACTCTAAAGGTAATTATTTTCTTTTTAGATTCTACATGTAAGGATGTCATACAGTATCTTTCCTTCTTTGTCTTAAAAAAAAAGATACAAATGAATTTACTTACAAAACAAAAACAGACTCTCACAGACTTAGACAAGGAGCTTTGCCAGGGAGGGGATAGTTAGGGAGTTTGGGATGGACATGTACACACTGCTATATTTAAACGGATAATCAACAAGGACCTACTGTATAGCATGTGGAACTCTGTTCAACGTTACGTGGCAGCCTGGATACAAGGTGAGTTGGGGGAGAATGGACATATATATACATATGGTTGTGTCCCTTCACTGTTCACCTGGAACTATCACAACTGTTCATCAGTTATACTCCAGCACAATAAAAATGCAATAAATAAAGTTTAAAATAAAAAGGTTTTTAAAAGATAGAATTTAAGATTTCTTCAAGAAAAAAAAAAAGGAAGTTAATTTGGTAGAAATTTGTTTCCATTTTTGCATAACACAAACAGTAAAATCTCTACTACCTACCTGGACCAAAACATTTTATGATAACTCCAATCATAAGAACTTGAACTATTCCCACTGCACACAGCAGGCCAACCCAATATCAATAACTAATTCAAATACATTAACTTTCAAAAATGTCAATGGTATAACTCTTTCAGCTGTAACTCAGTGTCAGTTTGAGTGTAAGAAATTCCCATTAATCCTCTATTAGGGAAGGAGAAAGTCCTAAACAATTGCCATTCACACATTCACAGATAAAAAAAATGTTTTCACCTATGGCATACTATGACAGTAAGCCAGCCATAGCATATTGGCCACCAAAGACAGGTTATTATCAACAATATCCCCTTTAGGTTTTCCTTGTTACAGCAAGACACCTGAAATAAACTAGCTACTTTACCTCCAGCAAGAATAAATGTTGAAATATTTTGTAGTGTAGTTACCAAGTCAACCCTTTATGATATAATCAAAACACCTGACTAATGTGGCATCTGAGAAGGACAGAGAGAGGCCTTGCTTCCAAGTGGGAGGGTCACTTTCCCAGCTAAAGTCTGGCTTTCCTGGGACATATTTCCTTCTGAACCTTCTGAGCATGATCAGAATTTTAGGGGAATAAAGTAATAACAGATTTACATCACATAAAAAAACAACAGCAAAAATTAAGAAATTATAGCTTTTGTGAGACTATCAGTTTCCTCGGTGAAAGAGCTATTTCAACCATTCAAATTCCTAAAATGTGTAAGTTCTGTAAACCTAGAATTCCTTTCTATGAATTAACCTAAGGAACTAATCAGACCATTGCAAAGATGTATGAATTAGAATTCTTATCATGGCATTACAGATAATTCCTAAAAACCAGAAATAATCCATCTATCATTGAAGAACTGTTTAAATAAATTACGGTACTATTTTATGATAGAATACTATGGGTAACACTAAAAACTGATATACTTCTCTACTAACATGCAAAGATGACCATGATATACTATTTACTGAAAAGAGTAGGCTGCAAGACTGAGTGCAAAACTTGACTACATTTTTTTG